CTTTCTTTCTTTCTTTCTTTCTTTCTTTCTTTCTTTCTTTCTTTCTTTCTTTCTTTCTATTGGATATTTCATTTACATTTCAGATGTTATCCCCTTTCTGCATTCCTTGCCCCCCACCCAGGAACCCCCTATCCCATCCCCCCTCCTCCTGCTTCTATGAGGATGTGCCCCCACCCACTCACTCCTACCTCCCCACCCTTGAATTCCCCAACACTGGGGCATCCAGCCTTCATGTTACCAAGGACCTCCTCTCCCACTGATGCCCAACAAGGCCATCCTCCCCTACATATACAGCTGGAGCCATGGGTCCCTTCCTATGTGCTCCCAGGCTGGTGGTTTAGACCCTGGAGCTCTGGTTGGTTGGTACTGTTGCTCTCCCCATGGGGCTGCAAACCCTTTCAGCTACTTCAGTCTTCTCTTTAACTCCTCCATTGGGAACTCCATGATCAGTCCAATGGTTAGCTGTGAGCATATGCCTCTGTATTTGTCAGGCTCTGGCAGACCTCTAAGGAGACAGCTATATCAGGCTCCTATCAGCATGCACAATACTTTTCAATAGAACCATTCATTTAGACCTTGTTCACTTACTAAGTCCTGTATAACATAGGGGCCATTCTACAGTCTACCTAGATTTGGCTACTATAAAATGTCAAAACAAAATCTTGGGGCTATATTTAGCTCAGTGGCAAAGAACATCTTTGTGCACATGCACGGGGAACAGAGTTTGGATTTGGTCACTCATGGAGGAAGCCGCATATTCCACCAACACCCTCTTCTGGCCCCCATGCATGGAGCAGGACACACACAGATACAAGCACAGATACACATGTGCCCACACACAAAAATACGTAAGTAATTCCGTCACCGAGGAGGTTCCTTCTCATCAACAAAATGCGAGTTCTGCTCTGACTGTACATTCAGCAGTGGTGCTGAGTGTTTGTACATACAAAATTTTCTACTCAGGATCAAAGGTTGATTTACTAGACAGATACAGCAAAGTCTGTGTGAAGGCTGAACAGGCCAGGGACATTGTGCTGAAAGTTCATGGATCTCTAAGGTGAGCTGTATATTAATGACCTTATGGTTTCTCATATTTCCTTCAAGAGCATAGTCCTGTGTCACTTCATGATTGCAGGATAAACCTTATTGAGATAGTTGCCCTAGATTCTTAGAAGGTACAAACTATCAGTAGGAGGTACAAAATACAATTATTTTGTTTAAAAGACATGAACTTTTGTTATAACGTTATGCTTTAACAAATCACACATTATATTCCTATTTTGAGCTTCTAATTTCTATTATTTGTTGAAAAACATACTTTTGTTCAGTATTTTTACGCCTTTAATCTACCTATTTTTTTTAATATACTCAGTAGCTGAAACCAAGTAACAGTGGATGTTTGTAATCAATTGAATTTATAATCATTTCTAGAAACAAAAAACCCAAAGGGTTGGTTTTAGATAGAATCCAGCTATGGAGCCAGGCCTGGGGTAAGCAGTTCAAGTCTTAGCAGTTTCCAGTCAGCGCTAATCCAGGGCATTGAACTTCGTACTGCAATTGATAAGCAGGATGATGTAATGCTGACGCCACACTGTTTTCCCTTCTGCTTTTATTAAGATGGCTTCACTTTCTCTGGTCCATTCACAAGCTTCTCACAGATGAACACACTCTATGAGCAGAAGAAAAGACCTGAGGAGCTACACAGTTCATCCTGCCCCATCTTGCCTTGAGCACTCGCCCTGTCACGTGTCCTCACTGCTGACAACATTTAGTAGGGATCTTTTTGTCTCCCAGGGTAACACATTTGGCTAGCACAGATCTAAAGTCACAGTAAGATAGAGTTAAGTGTTGGTGGGCGGCATGAAGAAAGTTTCAGTTACTGGAAAAGACAGGGCAAAGGTTGCCAGAGCCCTGAGAGAGTGAACCACAGCAGAGGTGTTCCTGTCACTGTACTGGCTTTGCAGTCCTGCAGAACACATCCTGGAACCCTAATGGTTCAACATCAAGGAGAAACTACAAATGCATTCTTACAATACTAGTAATTCTGCCAGACAGCAGAAGTCTGAAGTGTCTCTACAGTAACAGCCTCAAGCTCACAGCTGCCTGTTAACTAACATGTCCTGGCAGGATGAACTGGTTAGAGTCACCTTTGAGGAGTTGACAGTATGGCAGTGCACAATTCTGAGTGTGCCACCCTTGGATGTTAACGGAAGAGCATGATGAGACCAAGCACTTAAAGCAATCATGTAACAGTGGATGACGGCAGAAGAGGAAACCAAGGCTTTCAGCTTTACTCTCAGCAGGTTTCCTTCCAAAAGCACTTAAGTGCCAGGCCCCCATTCCTTCTAATGTCTTCATGCTTTCTTTGTAACAGCCATGTGCGAGCTTTCGCCTTTCTACAGCAGAGCATGCCTGCCTCTTACATTTGCTGCGAGACAAATTTCCTATCTGCTCTATTGAGCATGAAACTTTTGCTTCATCATATTCTAATTTTTACTTATTTTGAGTTCTGCAGGTGGTGAGGGAGTCGGGGGCAGAGGCTAGCTTTGTGGAGTCAGCTCTCTTCTTCCACCGTTGTGTGCAGTCAGAGGATTAAACTTTCTGGCTCGTACAGCAAGCTCTTTCCCAACCCCCACACCCAACCCACTCCTTCCACAACTTCACACCCCACCAACTCTTCTCTTCTCAAGCTTTCTCATCCAAGAATCTTTACATTTTTTTATTGTTATGGGAGTGAGTGTTTTGCCTGCATGCATGCATGTCTATACACTACACATGTACAACATCCATGGAGGCCAGATGGTACCAGATCCCTTAGTAGAGTTACACAAGGCTGTAAAGCTAGCATTTGGGTGCTGGGAATGGAATCTAGGTCCTTTGGAAGAACAGGCAGTCTCTTAACTGCTAAGCCATCTCTCCAGCCCAGGATCTTTTTCCTTATATCCTGGATTCTGGTTTCTCTAGCTTCTCCCATGGTTTTGACCACCAGTACTCTTCTCATCTCTGAAATCCTGCCTGAGACGGTGCTCTGGTGACCTTGTGCTTCACAGAGTCACTGTCCCTTTCCTTCCTCTCTGTTCACTCTTCAAAAGGAGACTGTCTTCACATTGCTCAGCATCAACCATTCCTGAGCCATCTTCTGTACTCTATGTAACTGAAACTACTCCATCATCCACTCCTGTAGTTTTGCTTAACCTCAAACTTCATACACCCAGTACCAAGCATCTACACTCCCTTCCCCCACAAGGGCCTTTTTAATTGCATTATTGTTGTTGGGTTTACTAGAAATTTTGGTCATTGCTGCCCCCATCTCTTAACATTTAATAATTTGCCACTTCCTATGAAGGGGGCCTCCAGAAAACATCTGGGACCCATTCTGCTGTCTTCAAACTCAGTCAGCCACTTTTTCTGTGGGACTACTCCAACAGGACCTCTCAGGTCATAGATTTCAGGCTCCTCCTGTCCGTCCTGAACAGACTTAATATGGACAGAGTCCATGTCCACTGGTTCTGCACACGAGGCCATTCATAGTATGATGCCATACATTTATTTATGCCCCTTCAAGACCAGCCCGAATATCCTCTTTAACTCACCCATCCCTCACTGCACCCCCACTTACAAGACCTGGATTCAAATCCCTTAAAAAAAACTCATCCCTTTGGAGCCTTTCCCCAAACTCTCCACCCCGAAGAAACTTCGCCCCTGCCTGTTTGTCCTTTACATCAGCTGGGCCTCTATGTCACCCAAGGGCACCAATGTCATCAAGGAATAATCTCTGATTGGTGTATCACACAGACAAGACAACTCTGTCTTACCAACCTATAGGATGTATGCTAACATTAACTTTACCTAAAGCATGTTTCCAATACGCTTGCCCTATTGTGGTTCTGCGCTGCTGGTGGGCCATAACAGAAGCTGTCTCCACCAACCTGTCCACAAAGGTGATCTGTGACATCATCCTAGCAATTAATCACCAAAGTTTGACTTTCTAAAAGTAATTAGTCATTGCATCCTTACCTCTTGAAGTCTGATATTGAGTGGGTTTTAAGTGTTTGCTGAATAAAAAAAAAAAAGGTTCAGAAACAAATGGTACAGGAAAAATCCATCTAATTTTTTTCATGTGTTCAAAAAGCAGCTGGAAAGCTGCCAATTCACTGGTTAGCTTTAGTTGAAGGACATGATGGCACCGACTTTCAGGAGGGGCCAGCATATAACAGGAAGATGGCCGTGGACTTCTTCACCAAGGTAATGTTGTCTCAACTAGTATGTGTCTAGATTAATGTTTAAAGCAGCTGTAGCATTGGTTTATATGTGCATAGTGCTACAATGGGTAAGTTTATACGTTGGGTAAGTTTATACTACTGGCATAGCAAACTGGAGAACATCATAAACACATGTCCCGATCAGGATACTGCAGTGAGGTGATCCAATACCACATCCCTGACGTCATTACTCGAGCCCCTCAGATTTTGTCTTAAAAACGTCTTAGTACAAGTGTGCTTCTGTCTTCTCTCAGACAGTCATGGACACATTGACCCCTCCCTGAGACCCCTGTGGGACTTGGCTTTCCTTGGCAGCTCATACGTGATGTGGGAGAAGACGACCCAGTTTCTGCACTACTACTTGGTCCAGCTCAGCAGTGTGAAGCAGCTGGTAAGAACCTGACATTAGCTGGGCCAGCCAAGCTGCAGCGCGCCCAGTGCTCTGTGGCTGAACCAGTGGAAATGGTGACCATCATGGCGAGAGCTGTAATTATATTTCATTCATTCAGCAAATATCTGAGTGACTGCAACGGCCCAGGTACTGTTTTAGGAATTGAGGAGGCAGCAGTGAACAAAACACATATGTTGACTTTAATAAGACCATTCTAGAAAAAAAGCTAAATTAAAAAGCTAATAAACCAATGAATATGTATCAAACGGTGATGGGGAGTGCTATGGCAAAAAAAAAAAAAAAAGAGAGAGAGAGAGAAGGAAATAAGGAAATACAGGGTCTTGAAAGGCAACTTACATAGTCAAATTAAGGCTAATGGAACCAGAGCTGCCACTGGAGCAGAAGCCAAAAGGCACAAAGAGCAAGAGAAGGGAATTTGAGACAGGAAACCTCGGCAGCAGGGCAGCTGATGGGTTGAAGGAGCGGCAAGGCTTGTGTGGCTCTACAGAGTGAGCAGGGAATCTGCAGGAAATGAGATGAAATGGCAGGAAATGGAGGGTGTCTGTCCTTGTAAGTCTGGCCGTGTCACTGGTCCAGGCTTGCCTTTATCCTATTAGCAGATGTGATTTCCCTAGGATCTTTCTGGCTCCATTCTGAGAACAGACTACCATGAAACAAGGGAGGAAGCAGGGAAGCTTAGTGGTGGCCTGGACTAGGGGACAGCAATGGAGGTCGTGGAGTATCTAGATTCAGGTGGACTGACAATCGTGGTTATAGGTTGTGTAAGAACATCAGAAAATGGTAAGAGATGAAGGATGAGTCTTAGGCTTGAACCTGGATGGAGAGTTTCTATTCATTGATTGGGAAAGACATCAAGAACAGTTTTAGAGGAAGCTGTCTTGATTTGTGGCAAGAAGACAATCTATATGGTTATCTAACCATAGAGGTTTGTGTTTAAGAGATGGATGGACATCTGTAATTGTCCCCACGTAGATGGTGTTTAAAACCACTGACGGGGAGAGATCACAAGTGGTGGTGTGCATAGAGTTACATAAGACTGAGTCTGGTACTCTTCCTACCTTAAGATATGGAAGCACAGAGTCCACCTGGAGGGAAAGCAGACACCAGCAGGCAGACACTAGTCACAGATGACACTAACACAGGTGGGAGCCAGTCTTAGTTCTCTGGTATCCATTATGTACTCTCAGAAGAGTCCTGAGCCAAGGGTGAGGATGGAAGGAATGTTGGGAACGTGAGGTGGACCCCACCAGTTAATGTGGGGATCTACACAAGGACTTGTTCTTAGCCAGGGGGAAGTAGGCAAACAGTTGCCTTTAACCAGAGTTGGGAATTTTCTCAGGTAAATGTGAATATAGGGAGAGAGGGTTTTTTCCAGAGCAAAAGCCAAACCAGTTGTAAGAAGTACTTACTAACAGGAAACATTTTCAGATTTACCCATGGATGGATCCTCAGGATTTTCTGAGGAACTTGCCAAGCATTTGGCATTTTTAATGCTAATAATAATTTTGTCTGCTTTCCAAAAACCATTGTAAAACAGGCATCAAACAGAACTTAAGATTTTTTTCTTCTTTACTGATCTTTTCAGAGAGTGCTTTTAAACAGCAGTTACCCTCTAACTGACTATTGCTGTGTAACAAGGCAGGGACTTCTGTTAAGTCTTCCTCATTCTCTCCCCATTAGGACAACAGAACTAAAACAGCTAAGACAGCTCAGGGACAGGAAGTGCATATGAGGCGGGGTGGCTATCACTTCCCCCCAAACTTGGGTGAGAATTATTACCTGAATTCTCAGAGTTAGACTTAGCTGCTAGTGCAATGGTATAAGGAAATACACACTTCTAAACTTACAGTCCTATATGAACAAGAACCTTCACACAACCACTATTATTTCCTTAGACCTGAAGAACAAATGGCATTTCCAATACCAGGGACTGTGCCAAGGACAGGGGAGTATATCAGCTAAGGAAAATGAGGGTAAGGGCCTTCACTGTACCCCCAGCCTTTGTTATGACTTGGTAAAAGGAAAACTACATGTTATTCTGATTCCAACCCACCAGTATCAAATCTTGTAACTAATCTTGTAACTTTAATCTTTTCAAAACCTATTTTTAATGATGGTTCTTAAACACTTTAACCTCCCTTGTAGCCCACCACCCATCAGAGGCAGTGAGAAAGGATACAGGGGGTGGGGTGGGGTGGGGGAAGTGGACCTGTTTAGAAAGGTTCTTTGTATCAACTGTGTGTCTGGGAATCAGCAGTTCAGTTCACAGGTCGGCACCAGTAGCTCAATCCACTTGGAAACATTTTACAGATACAGTAGCAGTCCAGGTCAGTAGAGTCCGGATAGTAAACACCAATCAGCAGTGCTATCACTACCTAGCAGAGACAGCCAGGCCTCAGCCTTGGCCCGAGCCAGCAGGAGGGACCCAGAGGGATGCCAGGAGAAGTTCTTGGCTGTGCCTTTCGCAGTGAAGATCAGCAAAGATGCACACTACCAGAAGTTTTTTAGTGCATTTCTCTCTGTAAAGTACTGACAAATGCAGCTCAACTACATAATGTAAGGCAGACCCATACATGTGTGCCATCAGCGAAGAGTCCTCCTCACAAGCCCTTTTATGTGCTTGTCTTAGCAGAACACCCTTTCACCTATGTCTGCTTCCTTTAACGAGTCTGCTTTTGTCTTTCACCTGTGTCCACTTTAACAAAACGTTCCTTCACATCTTTGCCCCAGCAAAACACCATCCAACCAACTTTCCAAAGAACCCTGAAGATTCCACTTCACATTTAAGTATCTAACCCTAACCCTAAGATTCTACCAGGTTGCTGCTCACTATTCGTCAGTTCCAGACTTTATTCCAGCTTATGATCTCCCTCCACTAGCCTAAGATACACAACAGAAATAACCTCACCAGCCATATCTATTCTGCTTCGAAGTCTCTTTTCAATCACATATATTCATAGTATAAGCCTACTTACTCTACTAAAACCACACTGATTTTATTAGGGCTTAGTCTCTCCCTTTAGGAGATAGAAGGGACATGGAAGGGGGTCCACAAAAATGAGATCAAAAAGGTTCCCTCATGGTTTCCAGGAAGATTAAAGTGCTAAGTTATAGAAATATAATAATATTAAAATAATAATAACAATAATAATAAATCAATATGGAATATAAGCACTTGGCAATGCGGTAATTTGAATAGAAGCCAAAGAGGTTATTTCTGAGTAATATTAAAAATGATAACTTCTTGGCAGGGCAGACTGGGAGGTAAACTGTTTACCTCTGCAGTTCTGTAACAAGCGGTGCTTTGGGCTTGGTTTCAAGGGCCCGTCCTACTGAAGGAAGGATGCACACAGGCAGTAGTGCAAGCCTTGCTTCAGTAGCTTTAGTTAGGACCATCGTAGTCATAGCAGACTAGCATTAACTTACACACTTAACATGGGTAATGCCTTTCTTTCTGTCATTGCTGAGGAATGAATCTACAGCTTCACCATGTGAGGCAGGCTCCCTGAATTGCATAGTCTAGGCACTGGTCTGTGGTTTAAGTAAAATGAATTATTAAGTAAAGTTGGAGCTCTATTATTTATATAAAGCCCAGTCTGATTTTACCTAAAAGTTGAAGACTACCATAATTTCATTCAAAAATGTTGCTTTTAAAGCCAGGCATGGTAGTTCTTGCCTTTAGTCTCATTATTTAGGAGGTAGAAGCAGGAAGGTTAGGAGTTCAAGGCTTGCCTCAGCTATAGCGTGCCAGGCCAGTGTGGGCTGTATAAGACTGTATCGCAAAGATACATGTTTAAAAAAATGTTCTTTTCAAAAGCAGAATTAGAAAGCACTGCCTTAAAAAATATCTATAAATAAAATCAGTTTTAAAGGTTTAAGAATAACCTGGGAAAGCCTGGCCTTGAGAAACAGTACAGGCAGCAGCCGCCTGTGACAGGGGCCCACTGATGGACAACTTGGAAAAGATCAGCTTTTCCTTCTGAAGAAAAGACAGTCATCAAATGAGCTCCAAGCAAGGCCAAGTACACACATCCAAGTGATACAGATAGTCAGCCCCTTGCATCTGTGGGCCTGGTTCAAGCCCGCCACAGTATTTGTTTATAAGCCTCACATATTCTCTGAGGTGCTTTATCTCTAGATGGCCCATGGACAGTGTAAAGGCTCTATCAATTGTTATTCTGTTCTATTTAGAAAACAGCAACAAAAAACATGCCTGCACATGCTCAGAATTTGTATTTTCTATTCTTGGTTGCAAAATCCACAGGCGCAGAAGGGTAACTGTAAAAGAAGGGCTGGTAACTTATTCTCTAATGAAAGACAGTTTTCCCTGGTGAGTTCTGATTGTGCGCCTTGTGCCTTAGTTGTTTGAACACCCCTGTGTATACTCTACTGCCAGGCCAGAGAGAAACCTACTCAATAATGCAAGAAAAGTCACCGTACAAGAGCAGCCTCTGATGCATCCGTCCCTCTTGCATCTTCCTCTTCAACTCTCTCCTCACCTAGTGCAGAAGGCTTCTGAAAATCTCCACCAATGAGAACCATTCCACCGGGTATCCATCCCACGTGCAATCACCAAAGGTAGATGCTGATGTGGAAGTCAGGAAGTGCATGCTGACAGGAGCCTGATATGGATGTCTCCTTAGAGGTCTGCCATAGTCTGACATATTCAGAAGTGGATGCTCACAGCTAACCATTGATCTGATCATGGGGTTCCCAATGGAGGAGGTAGAGAGAAGACTGAAGAAGCTGAAAGGGTTTGAGGCCCCATGAGGAGAGCAACAATACCAACCAACCAGAGCTCCCAGGGTCTAAATCACCAGCCTGGGAGCACTTAGGGAGGGATCCATGGCTCCAGCTGTATATGTAGGAGAGGATGGCCTTGTTGGGCATAGGTAAAAAGGGAAAGGAGATCCTTGGTCCCATGAAGGCTGGATGCCCAGTGGGGAGGAATTCGAGGGTGGAGAGGTGGGAGTGGGGGTGGGGGTAAGCAGGGGCACATCCTCATAGAAGCATGAGGGGGGGGATTCGATAGGGAGTTCTTGGGTGGGGAGGGAATGGGGTAAGGGGATTATGTCTGAAATGTAAATAAAATATCCAATAAAAAAATTAAAAAGAAAAAAAAAAAGGAGAACAGCAAAGGCAAAGCCCAGCATCGAGTCCTTTGCTGTCGTCACCCCTCTAGTAGTGTCATATCCTTTAGTAAGTTCATTAAAAACCCAGCAGAAGACTTGAAGCTATATTCTAAAGGCTGGAGGTATTTTAAAAGAACCCTATTTTTACTAGTAAAGAGAAAAGTACCCTTGATCTATAAAAATAATGCAAAAACGAACTAGGAAATTAACTACTAAAAGTTTATAGAAAACAAAAAAGCATGAGGGCAAATGCCAGCCAGCCAAAACATACCTAACGTATTGGTTTTACGAACATTATGGGAGGGCTTCATGCAACACATATGAAGGACATGGAGGCTGTAAAACAGAAGAATCACATGAGAACGTGTATTGACCGCTGGGCGCAGCATCTGACCTGTGGCAGGCACGGTAGAAAGCGTGCTTTTTTTCAGACTCTCAGAGTAGAGCAAACACATCAGAGGTACCTAGCACCAGCACCTAGATTGCCAGATTTTCCTAATCCTCACAGACTTCAGTCAAACCCATAAATACCAGAGAGAAAAAGCTTTAAGGACTTTCAACCAGACCTCTATGACAAAACCGAAACAGGACCTGTGACTTCTAGAACGTGGTCAGGAGCACTACCATGGTGTTACAGCCGAAGCGTTGGGGCACCACCCACAGGAGTCACATGACACAGCCTCAAAAATCATGAGCTTACAATACCTCAGGGTGTTAGATATACTAACTCTTGTTTTCTTTTCCCTAGAAAACGGATGATGACAGCATTGATTTTGACTTCACTGTTCTACTTCATGAATTCTCCACACAGGTAAGATGCAAAGTTGTGTATCGAATTGTTTTTAGTTTAAGTTTTTCAAGTTAATAATATTTAGACCTTTACTTCCTAGGAAATCATTCCCTGCCGTATTCACTTGGTCTGGTACCCTGGTAAACCCCTTAAAGTAAATTACCATTGTCAAGAGCTACAGAGCCCAGAAGAAGGGTCTGGAATTGTGGAAGGATCAGCTATGGCACCAAACGAGTTCAGTAATTTCTAAAAAGAAGAAACGATCTACTTCTATTATAATTTAAACAAAACGACTCCACTAGCCTGCGTCATCACTCCTGCATAAAGGCAAAGGTCCAGGCATCCCAGCAACCCAGGCAAGCTTGCCGTTAGAAGCAGATGCTCAGAGGCCTGCCTTGTTTTTCACCTGACCTGCCTTGGTGCTGAAATCCGTGAGCACCTACCTGCTTGGGCCTGACAGTCTCAGCATATCTACCAAACGGCAGGTGAATCGACGACTGCTTTGGGAAAAGGTTTTGTCACTGAGTTTGTATTTTTCATTACTCTGGACATAGTGTGGTTATTTTATGTTACTAAATTGTTCTTACTTATTATGTCAACTTTTTTTTCAGCGAAAGTAAATGGTAGGGAAATACTGCTAATCTCTGGCAAATACTCCCTTTTAGCATGATACCCACTTTCAAATAAATATTTATATTTCTAAATAATAAAATGTGTTTGTAAAATTTAGTATGCATAGAAATTTGGGCTAACCTGTAATTTAAATCAAATCCCAATGCTGATTCAAATCTAATAAATACCACACTGTCTCACATGATAAAAGCTGCAAACACACACTTAAACATTGATATAGCTCATAAGGTACCAGACACTTATTTTTATTCATCAGGACAACCGGGACGCAGTGTTGGTGTAAATGATCTATGAAAGCCAATACAATATGTAACAATCAAATTCAGTGACGTATCACCTCGGGGAGGGAGGAACCAACCAGGGAAGGTAGCCATCGCTTGCCTCTCACAATAATCAAAATTTAATAGAACACTTATGTCACTGTCTTAAACCCTTGAGCCAGGTTCCTGGGCCACTGACTGATAGGGAGGAATCAGCCTCAAAATAAAAAAAGCACACAGAAGCAGCCTTACGATGGATGAGGTCATGTCCCAGTCTGCCCACCTAGAGTTGAAAATACCAGAGGCTTGAACTGCAGTTAATACACCTGACCTAAACAGCCCAGTTTAGCAAATAGTCATAGACTGCTGCTTACGGTAATGCTCATGCGGCTGGCAGAGCTGTCTCCCGCTGTTACTGCCCCAAATTCCCAGGGTCTCATATAGTATATTCATTCCTAGGTGAGACCCAAATGGTCCACATGGTTTTCCAGAACGAACTCCGTTTTCTTATTGCTGTCAAGGCAACTACTAAAAATGGATCATAATACTTAGTATGCACTATTGGCTAATGGTTAAGTTTACTGTACAGATAAAGATTTTAGACAAGGGTGCTTAGCAAAATAACCAGAAGCAGATCTAATTGTGTGTTGTTTTTTTGTTTTTGTTTTTTGTCTATTTACTTCCCCAATATCCACTCCTTTCAACAAGTTCTAAATCCTCTGCATAATCCTTGAAGGCACACGGAAGCTCTCCCATCTGGATAATAGTGAAGACAAAGTACTTTTTAAACATACCCAAGAAGCAGTATGTAATGACTGCATTGAGCCAAAATCAAGCCAACAGATAGATTTTCTAACCAAAGTTCCCTAAACGACCTTTCAACATAGATCCTATGAGCACTATGTACATTATAACACGCTGCTGTCCTATGAACTCTAACTGTTCTGTTAACAGCTTCCTATAAGGTATTTCAGCTTTAGTGTTTTAACATATGGAATCTTAAATTCGGCAGCCGTCAGAAAGGACCAAATTGTAACATGCTGGAATTTTCCCATTGCAGAAGGTAGCCCTTTGCATTGCTGAAAAGATACATTATCCCAGTAAGGTATTTCTGACCTTCAGAAGACATTCTCCATTAGGCTTACAAGTAACCAAAACTTAGCCAAGTAAGCAAACAACATAACCTTTAAGTAGATCAATTTTGGAATACAGTATGAAGAGGAACTGTATGCAAAGCCCACAAAGTCAAAGCAGCTAAAACTCTCTCTGCACCATTGCCAGCACATTGTTCCTAACAGAACGCTGAGGTTGTGAGCTTGATTTCATTAACATTGATTTCACTGGCTAACAACAGAGCAAGTACTTCATTTGCATTGGCATAAAGTAAAAACTGAACTCCCCAAGCCCTCTTTGCATTAGGAGTGTAAATTCTGAGTCACTGAGCTAGCCACAGTTGCATTTAGCATCACACTCATTGAACGTCTCGGGAACTTTCAGAATTTCAAGATATATCAAAAGTAGTACCAGAATTTTATTCACAACTCCATCTTATTCTACTCAGTTTCAATTTTTCCTACTTGAATGACAATTTTTTTAGATAGTACACAAGGTGGTTTGAATGAGAATGGCCCCTACAGGCTCACAGATTTGAATGCCACCAGGGAGTGGCACTATTTGAAAGGATTAGGAGGTGTGGCCTTACAGGAAGAAGTATGTCACTGGGGATGGGCTTTGAGGTTTCAAAGGCCTGAGCCAGGCCCAGTGTCTCTTCCTGCTGTCTGCAGATCCAGATGAATAACTCTCACTTTTCTCTAGTACTTTGTCTGCCTGTGTGTTGCCATGCTCCCACCATGATAATGGATCCAACATCTGAAACTATAAGCCAGTCCCAATTAAATAAATGCCTTCTCATATAGGAGTTGCCATGGCTGTTCACAGAAACAGAACACTAAAACAGTTCATCTGAAGGTCAGTTTAAATGTCTATACTTGGACTTGAATGTTAGTCCTTTAAGACATCATGGTTTATTACACTGATTTTCTCAGTTTAGAAATTTCTGGACAGTTCTGTGACCTTCCCTAACTTTAAACAAGACTCAACCATAAATTGCTTACTACAGTAAAACACTGCAAAATTAGCTGAACATTTAAAATTCTGATTCAACAATGTATCTTTTCAGCAATGCAAAGAGCTACCTTCTGCAATGGGATAATTCCATCATGTCACAATTCACTCCTTTCTGGTGGCTGCACCAAATAAAAGATTCCATATGTTAAAATACTAAAATGCAAATATGTCTAATTTTCAAAACTGATTAAATGTTGACTCACAAGCTACACAATTAAGCAGGAAGAAATAGAATAAGAGAAAACTCAAATGTATTTCTTTAATGTCAGTTATCAGCTGAAGGGGCAATAGCCCAAAAGTGGTATCATACAAAATGATATTGATATCATACATTAGAATTGAAAAAAAAAAATTCCGTGTCTTGGGCCTATGTGCAGGTGACGCTGCAGAAGTCTTTAACATCAAATGCATGCTGGAATCAACTGGAAATGTTCCAGGGAGCCTGGATATCCAGAGATGGAACTGGGTCCTCACTAAAAGCTCCAGAGAATTTTTAAGTGAGTCAGGAGAGTGCGGCGACACAGTCGCTAGTAAGGCCTCTAGTGTGGCCTCTCCTTAGCACAAGCTAACACTTTCTTTAAATTAGTTAAAACTATCCGTCATAATAGTAGCTGAAGAATTCTCATTTATTAATATCACATTAATCTTTTCCATGCTATCGACTTGTTCGGTCTTTACCATGAGCCCATCAGTAATGAGCTAGCAACAGACGTGGGCTCTGTTACCGTACCTGTTCCTATGGGATCCTGTTCCATTCACACTCCCATGTGAGCCCATGTCATTGCCTATGAAATGTCACTAATGGATTAAATACCAGGATTCTTAGTATAACTTAACTTCTCTCTCCTGCCACCTCCCTCCCTCCCCCCTCTCTAAGGTCTCTCTGTATAGCCCTGGCTGGCCTGGAACTCACCATGTAGACCAGGTTGGCCTTGGCCTTGAACTCACAGAGATCTACCTGTCTCTACCTTCAGGATATTCAGCAAATTAAAAACATACACAATTTTACCCACTTTTCAGATTATTCTCCATACCCAGAGACTGCATTAAATTCTATGAGACTATTTTCTTACTGAGAATATACTCCTAGTACCTAAAGCCAACCACTCCTCAGGCTTGATGCTCTGGTATAGACACTCCTCAGGCTTGATGCTCTGGTATAGACACTCCTCAGGCTTGATGCTCTGGTATAGACACTCCTCAGGCTTGATGCTCTGGTATGGACACTCCTCAGGCTTGATGCTCTGGTATGGACACTCCTCAGGCTTGATGCTCTGGTATGGACACTCCTCAGGCTTGACGCTCTGGCATGGACACATTCACAAGGACATGAAGCTACTGAATAACTGGATTAATTGCCTTGTTCTTGTCTGATACAAGACTGCAACAACTCTGTACCCTGACACAGAGGTGGTTATAGATTTGGAGAAGCCACAAACTGAAGCCTCTTGCCTGCCATCTTTAGTATTTCATAGCCCAATAAAGACCCTGACAGTGCTCTAGAAAGAGCATAACGATTCTCTTTTAAACAGAAGGCCTCATTCGATACCCCACGAAATGTCAGGATGAACGTTTACTATCATAACCTCAAGAGAGCCACTTTTAAAATATCAATGTATGCCACAGAGACAATGGACAACTTATTTGAAAAGCAATTGAAAACTTAATGACTGCATGGCCTTCAAAGAACCTACTATCTCTGTATAGTTGCTCTTGTTACAATGACACAGCATTTACAGGGTTATAAGAATTAAATTAGATAATGCATCTAACTTAAAAGCAGGCCATCAAATTTTACCCTAAAATTATAAATCAAAAACTCTGTAAAAGGTGGTGCAAACCTATGACACAGCACACCAGAGGTGTCAGGAGGTGGCCAGAAGATCAGAAGTTCAAGGCTAGTCTTTGCCATATAAGAATCTGTCAAATACCCCACAGGAAATAAAAACAATTTAGTTTATCTCTATTATCTAGTTTTATGCAGTAAGTATAACAGACTAGGCTATGTATGTGGGATTAGAGATTCGGGGGTGAAAAAATTCTTAAAAGGATACAGAACAGCCTGAGAAAAGCCAACTTACTCTGGAAACAAAAGCTTAACATTCGTTCCTTCTTAATCTTAATGAATACAATATAGACTAAACCCTAAGAACTCAAATGGACCTACCATATATCACAATGATGAAGCAGCAACTCTACAAATTCTATTTTTATCAGAATCTATGAATACAACTAAAGAGGGCACATGAAATGCCTTGTTCTTGTCTGATACAAGACTGCAACAACTCTGTACCCTAACACAGAGGTGGTTATAGATTTGGAGAAGCCACAAACTGAAGCCACTTGCCTGCCATCTTTAGTATTTCACAGCCCAATAAAGACCCTGACAGTGCTCTAGAAAGAGCATAACGATTCTCTTTTAAACAGAAGGCCTCATTCGATACCCCACAAAATGTCAGCATGAACATTTACTATCATAACCTCAAGAGAGCCACTTTTAAAATATCAATGTATGCCACAGAGACAATGGACAACTTATTTGAAAAGCAAACCATTGAAAACTATTGACTCTTGAATAGAAATGGCAGAAGCTACATGGTTATTCTGTACTGTTTTTCCAACTTTTCTGAATGCTACATTATATGATAAAAAAAAAAATAGGGAGCTGGAGAGTTGTCTCAGTCAGTAAAACACTGGGCAGGCAAGCATGAGGACGTGAGTTCAATCCCCCAGGAGCCATGTGAAAACAGGTAGTCACCACAGACGTCTGTAATCCTAGCGCTAGGAAGCAGAGGCAGGAGGATCCCTGGGGCTTTCTGCTCAACAACACAGACGCCTCAGGCTTAGTGAGAGACATTACCTAAAACAACTAAATTCCAGGACAACTACGGAAGACAACCTCTGGCATGTCCATTCACACACAAAACCACAGATGTACATACATGTGCATGGTACTGCATGCCCACAATCCTACCACTTGGTGAGAGGCCAACCTGGGCTATACACATAACCCTTATGTCAAAAAAAAATGTGAAGTAAATTTATATATATTTTAAGCTGAAAATTATTCTCTTCTTCCCTTAAATAATATTAAGTATACTTCAGTAATAATATAATTTTATTTAAGGTCTCTTACTAAACAATAAAAATAGTCAATACAGTTTAAGTACATAGTTATCTTTGCGTACATATAGAAGCTCCTGAACATGAGACAGCAGGGGCTCCTAAATTTGTTTCTGCCATCTGAACTCACTCCACCAGGTTCCATCATCTGTAAGTCTGGTAGTCAAACAGTCAGTACATTCACAGCGAGGAGAGTCAGTTCTTGGCTTTTCCCTTTTTGACGGGAAGTTGACCTGTAGCTTCCAAATACTTATTGATGAGCTCTTCTTGTGTGGCTGGCAAACACGGCTGGTATCTGCAGTACTCCATTGTGTACTCTCCTTTCCCCTACGAGAGAGAGAGAGAGAGAGAGAGAGAGAGAGAGAGAGAGAGAGAGAGAGAGAGAGAGAGAGAGAGAGAGAGAGAGAGAGAGAGAGAGAGATATTGATTTGCTTGTGCAAGTCAGGATGTATTAACGTGCACAGTACTCTTCTGAAGAGCACTGAAGTGAAGTTTGACTTGCTTACCTCTGTGCAAGACCTAAGCTCAGTGGAATAACCAAACATATTATTTAGGGGAACCTAAAAACAAACATAAAAATATTTTAGCACCACTTGTTAAAAATGTTTGAGGAAAATACAGGGATATATCAATTTAATGCCTTACAATTAGCTTTCTATTGACAATTTTAAGTTTAAAAAAGGCAAAAGCCAGAGCAACTTCTGTCTTACCCCAGACTGGAATTTCTATTTCAAAATTATTTTGACAGGTATAATTATACCAAATCTTTCTATTCAGACTGTATACCACTGATGGTCTATGGTCTTCCCTTCTTATCCCCACACTACCTCCAGTTCACACATTCACATGTGTTTTTTCTGGGAAAATCTTAATGAGTTGTTCTTCTTTCTCTCTCTCTCTCTCTCTCTCTCTCTCTCTCTCTGTGTGTGTGTGTGTGTGTGTGTGTATGACACTGGGCCCAGAACCCAGAGGCTCCTGAAGGCCAAGTGCAGTGCATGGTTACACTGAGCTGCATCAAGCCCTCCTTTGTGTACTTACATGATACAATGACAGCATCTTTCTAGAGGCTATCTATAAAGTGACTGATACTTTCTCCTCTGTGAGATTTAAGTTAAGACAGGTACAGATCAGGGAATTAAATACTAGCCTTATAACACAATAAAGCAGCTATACAAATAAGGTTAAAATGGGAAAAAAAATAACTATATACCTATGAAACAACAAATTCACCAAAATATATATAGCCAAGATATAAATAATCCTATGTTTAGTTTTTGCACTTAAAAGTTGCACTCACAGAAAATTACACAAATTGCTACAAAGTAGAAGCTACAAACTCAAAAGCAAATGTTTCAGTTTGCTCCATAATTTCTAAAACCAAACCTAATTGATTACCTTCTGTGTCTAATTAAAGTAAGACATATCTGTGACCAAAGAGGGATAACCTGATGAAGCTGAGGCACCAGGCTACTGTGAGTTCCAGGCTAGCCTGAGCTACAGTGTGAAGGAATCCCAAGTGACTATCAACGATGTACTTACATCTGCATACAGTGTGAAATAGTCCTCAATTCCGTCTTGACCTATAATCACTCCATGGCGCCGGTTAATTCCTGCAAACACTGCTCCCTGAAATTCATTTGGGGCTATAACTTCCACAGACATAATAGGTTCAATAATACATAATGTGGCATTTGCCAAGGCTAGATTTAAAAAGAAAAAAAAAAGGTAAGTATATTAGTTATTAAAGTGAAATTCGCTCCAGCTGTACATAAGACAGGTGGCACTTTCCCAAAGGTACAAAACAATAAACTGAAAGTTCCCCTGGACTCATTTTTCTTTTTATGGTAATGGTAACAGTTATCTATGTAAAAATCCCAAAGAAATAACATTTCACTCTGATGTATTTCCATTAGCATGCTTTTGAAAAGTTCCTTAAATCTCATTAAACTACAGAGCACAGAAAACATCAATCATCAAGTCCAACACTATGTAAACTATAAGGCTATGTTAATTACTCTCTCTGGAATCATCACTTGTGAAACCAACATAAACCCATTCTTTCTTACTGGTCCTCAGCCCTCACGCATGCGCACGCGCACACACACAAACACACCACTCAATAACTCATCACAGGGCAGGCAAGGTGCTTAGAAGAATCAAGTCACTTCTATGAAGTCTTTCTTTTTCTAGGCTGACCAATTCCACTGCCTGACTGAGACTTGGGCTTTCAGTTTCCATCTCTAACAAGTTGTTTGATTTTTGTGAAAACAGTCTATCCAGGTTTTAAGTTTCTTCACCAATAACTAAAACAATATCATAGATTAGATGTTAACATCCACTTTAACATAAAACTCGTGTGTTTTTTGGTTTCATCTAATACACAACTACCACACTTTTTAGTTACAAATACTAATATTTACAGAAAAAGTAAAATAAAACTTCAAATATTTACACTTCAAATATTTACAAAAATTTAGTAGCAGGGCTAGAACAGAATATTTAGCCTCAAACTGGCTGCACTGTCCCCAAATAAAAGGTTTTAAACAAAACATAAGAAAGACAACTCAGAAGCTATTTTGTTCTGAAATAACCATAGTTTTCCCAGAGGCATCAGTTTGTTCATAAGAAATTAATTAGCAGACATTCCTGTATATTCATATAAGCACTCCTAAAGACACTACAGACTTGAGTGCAGTCACTGTTGGAGTAACAATGTAATCCCAACCCTCAGTACCAGGAGGGGATTGTCACCAGGACCTCAACTGGGTACCAAACTCCAGAGATGTTCAAGTGTCTATGCCATTTATGCAATGTCTCAGTATTTGAATACAGCACTCTTAAAATTACTTCTAGATTCTAATAACTAATTCACAGTAAATCTATGTAACAGAAACACTGGTGAGTCTCTATTTCAATCCACTAGTAAAAACAGAAGTATCAGAGGGTCAGGTGCTAAGTGGCTGAATGAGGAGGTCGTCTAAGGGCTAAAACTAGTCTAGGTTTAACCTTAAGCTCTACCAAACTAGTACGTCAGCCTGAGTTATGAAACTAATTGCTCCGAATCTCAATTCTCTCAGCTCTAAGGTCACACTGTGAAGATAAGCTCACTCGCTGTGGTGGTTTGAACAGGTATGGCTCCCATGTTTGAATGCTTGGCTCATAGGGAATGGCACTATTAGGAGGTGTGGCCTTGTTGGAGTAAGTATGATCTTGTTAAGGGAAGTGTGTCACTGTTGGGACAGGCTTTGAGGTCTCCCATGCTCCAGCTCCACCCGGTGTGGAATCCCGTCTCCTTACTGCCTACAAATAAAGGTACAGAAATCTCGGATCCTCTAGCATCATGTCTGCACACTGCCATGCTTCCTGCCATGATGATAATGGACTAAGCCTCTGAAACTGTAAGCCGGCCTCAAGTAAACGTTGTCTTTGTAAGAGTTGCCATGGGCATTAAGTCTCTTCACAGTGCTGAAACTCTCAAGACACTCATGTACTCAACATACACAGCACACACAAGGAATCAATAAATTTTATGAGCAACAACTGAAGCAAGTATGTTGGGAAATAAGTGGCATGGTACAACTCTAGATCAAAGGCAACATAGCAGGAAGGACTGCACTCACGGTGCCTAAAAGTATGCACGGTACATTTCCAAGTAATAGTCCTAGGCAGTCTGGGGAAGTTCAAGTGATGGGCCTATTTGTACACAGTAAGGAGAAAAGAAAGCCCCAAATCTGGCATGGAATGGCAAGATTTTGAGAATAGACTGCTGGGTTAGAGAGGCAAAGACATGGTTCTGACTCTGTCTAGAATGGTTGTAAGCCCAGTGCTTGGGAAAATAAGCATGGTGTTCTCTCTGGAGGTGATAGCAACACTCACAGCCAGAGTCACACCAGACCAAGCACATTTCACATTTCAGTTTTAAGTTACATCACTGATTGATCTTTGAGGCAAGTTCAAATTTTGGTTTAAATTATCATACATAAAAATCTAAACTATCTCCTAATTTTGATACTATGTCACATATTTTAGTATATTTTACTTTATATAATAATAGACACAACAATTTAAGTATAAGCCACTCTAATAGCAAGCTCAGTTAGCAAGCAACAGTCTTATCCAGAAACCCTCAGATGGCACGCAGTGATACACACACCCCCCAGTTCTTTACTGTTTGGCAAGAATTTCTTATACTTGATTTTATGTAATTATATTAATTATTATTACTTTGTTTTGTTTTGCTTTTTTGAGACAGAATATCTCTGTGTAGCCCTGGCACTCCCACTTGCTTTGTAGACCACCAGGCTGGCCACGAACTCATACATCTGCCTATCTCTCATGGGATTAAAGGCATCCATTTTTTTTTTTAAATTAATTATTTATTTCATGTACGTGAGTACACTGTCACTGTCTTCAGACACACCAGAAGAGGGCATTGGATCCCATTACAGATGGTTGTGAGCCACCATGTGGTTGCTGGGAATTGAACTCAGGATCTCTGGAAGAGCAGTCAGTGCTCTTAACCACTGAGCCATCTCTCCAGCCCAAAGGCATCCACTTTTAACATTTTAAAATTTCCTCTTTTTTAGGACTTTGAAAATTAATCTTCATTTTTATTCCAAATAGTATGCCTTCTCTTTTTAAATACTTTTCTTTTTAAAATTACATTCTATTTTTGGCAAATATTTATATTTATTTATGAATAAAATGTAGTCCCAAATATTTTTGGAATTAATCATGAAGAAATAGTGAGATGAAGAACCCAAATTAGTTATTTCATGCTAATACCTGGCTTGTCTGTACAACCTGTTATCTTAGCTGTAACCCAGACTTCCCTCTGCACATCCACTGCGCAGCTACAAATATCTCACTGGTATATGTGTATATTAGGGCCAAATACATCTATATTTATTTATATTTAAATATAGGAAAAGTAAGAAAGAATGAAATCATGTCAATTGACAACCAGATAATCTTAGCTTTATCTAACCTCTACTTCCATGAAAGTTACAAACTTCTAGTCAAGAACCAGCATAAAACAATTGGTGCTGTTTAATTCAATTGCATTTCTAAAAAGTGATAAGCTATTTAATAATATTTTTAACTTAAGATGTATTAAAGTAAAGAACATTTCAAGGTCAAAAGATGGGTATTCTAATCTGAGCTATGTTCAATAACATCCCCATCATTTCCTCTTTCCTCAGACTGATCAAACTCCTGCATCATGACTACAGAACCTATTTAATACACAGTTGGTATGAAGAAAATGCAGGTCATTCTTTCTTTTTACAACAGAAAACTAGATTTTAATTACTAAGCTTAATAAAATAAGGAGTTAACAAGCTAGTGTAGAAAACAGCAGCCCTCCCAGCCACTGCCTAACAGTAACCAGAGATGCAAACTACGACTAAAATAAGTTCAAAAACCTCACATTTCACACAGAATCAACAGAATTCTGATTTGCAGAATGCTTACAAAATAATGACCAAGAAGTTAATTCTCCCTGTCTATTTAACCCTTTGGTGAAAATATTTCTGAGCTGTTATGTGAATCAACTGCCTTATGTGAAGACACTTTTATATATTACTAAGGAACTGACAAACACTAGATATGGATAAGGAGGGAAAGAAAATAAATTTTCTGACTTTAGGGTAGCTGTGAGGCTCTTTTGCTGGATAATTCTCATGTCAAATTGCTCTGCTGCCATTTGTTTCCCCTGATTTAAAAGAAAAAAATCAGATATGCCTGCCCATAACATCTCGAAGTTCTAGTTCACAGTTTTAATAAATGTATGGTGTGTCAGCAAATGTAAGGTTGACAGACTTAGCCGTTTAGCAGGAAGTCTATATTATGGATAAAGTTTACTGAAGTCTTTCAAATCACTTTTCCATTCTCATAATAATGCCTAACAGTTTATAATGTGATATTTGAAAAAATTACTTACAAATGTATGAGCTCCTTGACATTTAAATAAATCAGTTAAAATACCACGACTAATTTATCTTTAAAATACTTCTTAAAGTTCTGAGCATTTGTCTTCTCTATTGAAACTAGAACTTTATATTATATATGAACTTACAACACATTAAAAATAAATACCCAGATAATTTAGAACAGGGCAGATAATTTAGAACTCTTTCTTGATTTTTGCAAGAGAACACAGCCATCTCCTCTCACTCTCAAATACTCTGTAAGTATTCATCCTTAGCTCCCATACTCCCCCCAAGTTCTGATGGAGGGGAAGGCAAACAGTACTGCTTCTGAGACTATGATGCTCTCCCAAGGAAGACAGATATACAGTTCATTAGCACACTACATACCTTGTTTAAGAGCACCTTCTCCAGCTCGGATGAAGGAGATTTCATTAGAATCAACCATGTGGTGTGCTCCATCTTGCAGAACAAACCGTAGCCCAGAAAGCTTGTGACCAGAAAGAGGTCCTTTTTCACAGGCATCCAAAAACCCCTAACAAAGAGTGAATGTAACCACAATGAGATTTCACTTGCAGAGTATTGCCCAAAATGCCAAAAGAGGTTACTGCTCAGGAGTGTAATGTTCTTAGGATGCATGCTATCTTTCACCTCTCAAAATATTTCTGAGTAATGTGGCATTTACATGAGCACTTTTGTAGAGAAGTACAGGATCTCAAGGTGTGAGCTGGATGGACCATGAAGCTAAAAGCACTCATAATCATCCCATCATCTCGACTTCAGGACTGACTCAATGCTCACGCTCTCTGATAGAGACAGCAGCACCTTAAGTTCAGAGTGAGGAAATGGTCACTAACCGATGTGTAAGCACTGGCTGTGTCTCGAGTCCCTGTCACAGGTCCATTACTGCTCTGCCTTGCTGGCAGATCACATCATAAAAAACACATCATAAAAACATTGTTCTTCTTAATGACAATCAGAACTGTTGTTAGAATTAAAGGGAATTTCATTTTCCCAAATGCAACTCACCTTTTAAAAGACAGCTTCATTGAGGTATAACTCATATACAAAAAAAACTGCACAGATTTAAAGAGCACAGCTAACAAGTTTGCAATTCATTTTCAGTCACTTAAATACTTACAGAACTCCCCCAATTCAGTCACAGAGCTACGCACACAGTGGGTTACACTTCTGACATTTCAAAATTTTACATTATGTAAGATGAAAACTATGTAAATTCTTCTCTTGTGTGAATTTGAGTCGTCTGATGTTTACAAGTGTGTGAATGGCAAAGTATTATCTTAAAATAATAGTATACCAAATAAAAGATATTAATAAAAAATACTATACTCCTAAAAACAAAATTATAACCAGCTGTCCACAAAATAAACAATTTCTTAGTGTGTACAGCAGCCTTAAGCAAGTAATAGGGAAAGCACTGGCCCTTTATGTGTGCGCTGCTCTCTACACGGCCTTACCTTGCCTCGATATATTTGAAGGGTACAGGTAACTTAGTTTTCTCCCAATTTACAAATTTAAAAAGGAAGCAGACAGATCTCTGAATTTGAGGCCATTCGGAGATACATATAGCCTCCCTGTCTCAAAGAAACAAACTAGCTCTGAACACTCACGTATCAAGGAGTAGGTTCAGCAGCAGCAGAAATGTTGTGGGAGCCGAACCTAGTTGCTGGGACTCCTAACAATGAAGCATTCCTACAACAGCACACACGAACTTCCATAACCCCCTACAGACTACTATAAACGTAATGATTGATTCCAACCAGTGTGGTAGTACCAACTTACGAAGATAGAGTACACATATGATTAACAGAGCATGTGAACTGAGTTGGAGGGTCTAAGATGGAAAGCCTGACAGTTTCGTAAAGATGGTTAACTAAAAGGAACCATGGTAGACACAAACATGACAGAACACAAGTATAATTTAACACCAAATAAGCTGCTTTCAAACAGAGACAGTGCTGCAGAGCCTTGCTCAACATTACCTTTTCAACAGCCGGAACAAACTGCTTTGGAACATTGGCCCCAAATGTTTCATCGGAAAACTCCAGCTTAGTGTAGTCCTCCGGGGCCAGGGGCTCCAGCACCCCTACTACTTTTCCAAACTGGCCGGCACCACCCGACTGCCTTTTATGTGTAAAGTCAAACCTGCAAATAATTAGGAGAAAACAAACAGCATCAATAATTAGCAAAATGAAATACACTCCTACTGATTTACACAAAAATCCACATTTCATTGGGTGTTTTGTTTTGTCTTGTTATTTTACTTTTTCCTTTTTGACTGTGATGGGCACACTATGAAATTTTATTGTAGAAGCTACTTAGAAGAAATTCTTTTCTATTCTTACTCAGGGGTGAAAGTGAGACACACTGCCTAAGCAAATTGTTTCTTTCTTCTAATAGAAGGCTCAGTCTAAGGTTTCCAATAACCTACATTCCAAAGAGCTCAACCAGTTCTGGAACACTGCCCTGGCGTGTCACACTGTGTAGTAATCAAGGACTGTTTCTTAGAAATAAGAACTCTGATGGCCATAATTAATCATTTAGGCAGTTCCTACTTGATTTTAATATTTAACATTACTGACTTAGCTGATTTAAATTGTGAGCCAGATATAATAATTAATACCTGAAAATGATTAATGACAAAATGATAGTGATGAACATAAAAAAAGACTTTCAAAGAGAAATGAACACAAGTTAGTGTTTACTTCAAGCCACTGGACAGAGTATTTTACACAAGTATTGTCCATGAGAGACCCAAGCTCATAAGAGGCTGAGGACACAAGCCAGCAGCTTCTTCCTTTAACCTGAAACTTTCAGAGGGCAATCACTTCTTATTTACAAGATCTGCAGGAGAATAGACATTAATAAGTGAGTCTGTAAGTGACTTGGGAAAAGGCAATGTAAATATTGGTAGGAGATGTAAGCTTGGAAGGGGCAGACTTCCTAAACAGCTCAAGGGTAACTGTGTCTAACTGCCTTCGAAAAAAATCTTCCGGTGGCCAAGAGCTTCCGGATGGGATGGGCAACCCCAGAGAGTAAGAATGGAATTTTCCTGGGAGGGAAAAACTAGCATCCGTCAGAAGCAAGAAAGTAAAGTAGTAGAGAGTAAAAGAAGCACCATGATCCGGTCAGATTGGGTCAGAAGCACAGAGGAGGGGGCCCAAGTGCTGCACACAAGCTCCACCAGGTACTCAGCCTTCCCTGAGGTACTGGGCAGTCAGTCTCAGTCTAACAACACAGCATCCCTAGAAAACAGCCTTGGCTAAAGAGACGGCTCAGCAGGGAAACCAGCCCGCTGCCAAGTCTGATGACTTGAGTTCAATCCCTGGGACTACATGTAGAAACAGAACAAGTCCCTCAAGTTGTCCTCTGACCTCCACACTCCTGATCCACCATGCCTGGCCATTTTGATTTTATATTCATACTAAGTTATAAGCCACAGTAACTTTTTTATCTTGTTTAATGTTTATATTGTAATATAAAATCAGTATAACTTATCTGATCCTGAGGATGTCTAATATGTTATTATCTTGAAGACAATCTACGCATTCCTCAAGTCTGAGGATAACGGGCTGGATGTCTACCATTGGTGAGATTACAGTAGCTAACTAAGACTGTAAAGATCCAAGTGGGGCTGCACAGACAGCTCAGTGGCTGAAAACACTTTCCGCTCTTGTAAACTCGGATCTGGTTCCTTGCAGCAACATGGTGGCTTACAACCATCCCTAACTCCAGTTTCAGGGAATTTGACACCTTTTACTGACACCTGCTTGGGCAATACCCACACATACATTAACATGAAGGTAGATTTCTCTAAAAACATTTTAAAAGAAGGCACAAGACTAGGAATGATATTCAGCTTCTTTAACATCTAAACGAAAAGGTAACTTTCCCTTTTAAGTAATAATTACAATGTAAAGAAAACTCAAGTGCCATCATGCCAGTCTATACTAATTATTAAATACAGAATCGTTGACTATCCATTAGACTTTAAAATGCTGACTTTGGAGGCCCATACTCACACATGTGCGCATACACACACACACACACACACACTCCCCAAAAGGGGTTGGTTTACAGCTAAATGATGTATTTATTTAAAGGAAAAGAAAAAGACAAATATTTTCAATTTCAAGAGAAAATAATTAACCTTGTTATCCCCTAGCTGCTTCATAGTTGTCGGCTAACATAACTAGAAAGGCCGGGGAATGCACTGTACTGCTTAGTATTTAATAATACACTTGGCCCAAATAAAGTCCTCATTTATAGGAAAACTTCACATGAGGAGAACAATGCCCCCCACACACAGCACCTTCCACTTCTGTGCGGAGTATCACTGTATACATAGACAGTCCACCTAAAAAGCCTCCAACAATCTACCTTTTAAGAAAAAGAGATGGCGCTGGAGGACTGGCTTGGCAGCTGAGACAGAGGACTTGAGTTTGGTTCCCAGCACCCATATTGTGAGGCTCACGACTGCACTGAACTCCAACTCCTGGGGAATCTGATGTGCCTGCACACACATGTGCACACACACATAAAAAATCATAAAAATACGATTTTAAGAAGACAGGAGTGGTGGTTCATGCCCATTAAGCCTTAAATTTCTAAGATCAGTGAGAAAGGGTAAGTACACAGGTATGTTTCATTTTTTCCTCTGATCTCAGTCAGTCTCCCAACTTTTTAACATGGATTTCCTGCTTCCCCACTCTGGATCTGCCTCCAGAGGAACCTAGCTGAGCAAGCCTGTTCCTGGAGTCTCACAATGGAAAGACCCAAGGCGTGAATCACACTCGGAGCACTTTGCCCCTTGCCCTGTGAGGCCCGTTTGAAAAAGAAAAGGTGTACTCTAATCTGAACGTGAAACAGCCAGAGGTCCCTCAACAGGCAGCTGAAGTCCTCAAGAGGGCCCATCGAGGCAAGGCCAGAAAGCCCTTTCCTTTCCTCTTGAATTCTCTGTCCCCCTCCCACACCTGCACAAAGCCTGAGGCAGCCGGGGGAAAGCCAGGGCTTTTCTCCAGGAGGTACCCGCCTACCCCAGGGCGGGGCCGAGGCTCCCGGCGGAGCCACTGCCCAGTTTCCTGAGTGAAGTAGGAAGAGGGAAGGAAGGCGCTGAGGACCGCGCACGCCCAGCCCAGCTGCCGACTCCACCACTTCGCGGACACCCACTCTACGCTGACAGGACCCTGGCCGCACCCACCGTTATCTCTTTGAGCTAGGATAGCCCGTGCTGTTTCCCCAAAGATGGAAATCCCACCCACCCACTATGCTGCGTCCAGGGCCGCCTCGGTGGCGGAGAACTGCATTAACTACCAGCAGGGGACCCCCCACAAGGTGTTCCTGGTGCAGACAGTCCAGCAGGCCAGCAAGGAGGTGAGTCTGCAAGGTGGGGAAGCCCGAGATAGGCTCGCCCCACTACCCGACCCCCATCCCCATCCGGCCGCGGCTCCGCCTTTGAATAGCCTTCCTATGCGGTCCTCTATATGGGACTCATCCCAGATCTGTTGCTTTCACAGTAAGGCAGGAGAACATATGCAGACAGATTTTGTGCATATTAGTTTAAGGAACTGGGAAATCCATGGGGTGGGTGTCTCACCCTTTCCTGTGGTGAGAAGAGGTCTAGAGAAGAGGCATTCTAAACAATCTGGAAGAGGTTACTGTTTCTCAATCTGCTGGTAGCCTTGGCCAACAAAAGCCCATAGCCTCCAAACAACTCCATAAACTTTTAAGAGTAACTCTTAAGCCCTTTGCCCAAAACGAAGAGAAAACGTGAGAAATTAGCCCCGAGTAAGAAGACAAAAGCAGTGTAGGCTGCTGCCAGGCTCCAGCAGCCCACATCCTGTCTTAGATGAAGCCTTTCCCTCTGCTGAAGCCGGGTTAGGCTTTAAGGGCCTCACCTACTGAGTGTCCCTTACTTATTTGTTTGTTCGTTTGTTTATTTATTTTCTTACAGATCAAGTTTTTTTTGGCTGACAAAGAAATAATTTTTATTTTTGAAACTATACCAGATAATATAATTAGACATACGCTTCAAATTTGTCTTTCATTTAAAAGGGAAATACCTAAATTACCTATCTATTCATAAGATTTTTGAAGTATTGTTTTATAGAACAGAAGATAGAGTATAAATAGACACACACACACACACTGTCTCTGAGCACTTGGCAGTAATACACCTCAAATCGTGAACACTCTGGTACCCTTGGCTTTAAGACAAACCTTTCCAAAGATGTACCTACTGCCATTGCATCTGTGTACTCTGTATGTTTCCATCCGTCATCTACACTAACCTAAATATACTGCCAAGTTTGATGCTAAACACCTGATAACAGGGCCTCCTGGAGAGGTCAGGCTTGGGGCAGGGATGAAGAAGGATGGTGAGATACACATTTGTGAGGAATGTCAGAAGGAGACCCTTTGTTGTATGTTTTAAAAGATGCAAAGCTTTTGTGTATTTCTTCCTACCAGCTACCCTTCCAGCCATGAAATAAGAATGTCCCAACTAAAAAGATTTGATATATTACAATATTCTTTTCTCCACTACATTTTTCTTAATTTTAGGATATCCCAGGAAGAGGGCACAAGTACCATCTTAAATTTTCTATGGAGGAAATTATCCAAAAAGTAAGTGAGATGTCTTTTCTAGAATGCACTTCGATTCTCAGTGATCTAGTTCATTCTTGCCGAGGGTTTGATCCTGGGCTCTCCCTGCTGCAGTGAGATTTCTGAGTCTAAGCAGTTGCAGCTCTGCAGGCAAAGCTTCAGGATGTAGTGTGGACTGCCGGAGTTCTGTCTTCCTGTTCAATTATTTAGAGAAGTCTGTATTTCAGTTCAAATAAATTACCCTTAAGTAATTCCAAACAGTCTGAATTCATGTCTTGTGTGATTGAAAGAAGTAATTTACTCTCCAGTCATGACTGCTTTCTCATGCCTGCCTTTTCTTTTGGTTTTTAATTGGGTATTCAAATTAAGTACATTTAGAAATTCAGGAAAAATAGAACAGCCAACAGTGATTCCACTAATTTTTCAATAGTGGGACAAGAAAGTTTGAAAACTTGAATGCCTGTCAAATCATTAATGAAATAAATGTAAAAGAAGGAACTGTATATTGAAGCTGTGAGAAGCTTGCTCGTGCGCTCGCTCTCTCTCTCGCGCTCGCGCTCTCCCCCCCCCCCCCCCCCCAGGAGATAACAAGAGGAAATCCCCTAGAGCTGCTGGACAACCATCTCCACAGCTGCAAGCCTTTACTTTATGTTAGGGAGAGACTGTTCTGTCTACATTTGGAAGAAACAGTGGCTTCACAAGCAGAGAGAAAGAGTGAGGAGCAAACTTACAAGAAACTAGTCCTCCTTTGGTAGGCAGTCAGACTAAAATTTGACATTGTAAACCAACACTCCACTAACAGGGTTAAAATTCCTAAGATCTTGGAACCTAGGAACTTATAACATTGAATGGCCATCTATAAGACTGATCTTTTTTATTACTTTTGTAAAAATGCTCCAAACAGCAAGTTACAGTGAACTGCACAGCTGAAGTTCTTTACCCTCAAACGGGACAAGGCACTGCACCAGAAGTCAACTTCACATTTGAAGGAGAAATTGGCAAGAACCCAGATGAGGAAGATAACACATTTTATCAAAGACTCATGTCTATGAAGGAACCACTACAAGCACAAAACATTCCAGGTACATACATAAAGCTTGGGAAATTGTGTTATGCAAACTTGAGATCTACCTCTGTTATCCATCTGCAAAACTGTTTGATGTTGGAAATAACTTGATTTTTGCAAAAATACTTATTTCTAATCTAATCCAGCAATAAAAAGAGGCTTTGGAATTTTATACATTCATGGCTTAATTTAGTGTTTACCCACATTAGACAGCATAACTATGACTTTTGATTTTTAATTTAAAAAGGTTAATAATTACATTTAGCATTTAAATGTTTCCTCTAACAGATAATTTTGGAAATGTGTCTCCACAAATGAAGCCAGTCCACCACTTAGCCTGGGTCGCCTGTGGTTATGTAATGTGGCAGAATTCAACTGAAGACACATGGTATAAAATGGCAAAAATTCAAACTGTCAAGCAAGTGGTATGTAGTCTCTACCCAGTGTGTTATTAACAGCAATACTGACAAGGTACTGAAGTTCATAGTTGGATAGTGTTCCTATTGCCATTTTGTATTGAAATCAGTGAGGCTGGCAGTCTGAAGGCACTGCTAGTCAGTCAGGTTAGAGGAAGCAGGGAAAGCGAGCAACAATACTGACCCTGAAGGTCGTGTGGCTTATCAGACAGAGTGCAGACGTGGGCCTGTTCCTAACATCTGCCTCCCCAACAGTCGCCTCTGGTTACTGTGCTTTTTGGGGTCACATGATACAGGCAGTGAATGTGAGCAAGGCTAAGGGTTTTCTATGAAATATCTCCTAATAATGAGTAGTTTCTAGACTGCATTTCCACAGGCTTATGGTTCGTAATCTTTCATTCCAAGCAATTCAGATTTAGTTATCTGTAATGCTTTATTCAGATCCATTCCAGAGTAAAAGGGTTGCAGCTTTATTAGAGTGTGCAACAAAAACACTCAGGTACACTATACACTTTCAATGAATCATCCTGTTTTTAATTTGGTTTCCAAAGGTCCTGAGGGCCACTTTTGATAGCACTCACAAGTAAAGCTGCACTTCCAAAACTATCAAGTTGTGAGCCAAAATCTGACAGGTTTTTTATGTTTATATATATTTTCTTCAGTTTAAAAGAGTAGCTCCTCTGGCAGCCTGAGTAGAATATTTGAATTGCGATTGCCAAGTACTGCAGAACTCACTGCATTTTTCTTTACTGAATGATGCTTCCATGGCTACCCAGAGACGAGGCTGGCATTCCCCCTAGAGAGAATCGTGGCACTGTGGTCTCTGTAAGCTTGGAATAGCTTGGTTGTTCTTGGCTCATTCAGGATTCTTTTCTCTAACCCCTTTAGTCACAGTTTATGACCTCACGTTTTGTTACTAGCCTTATGATTTCTTAAGCCTGACACCATGGTTATGGAGAAATGTATTTTCCTAGGGCAGAAATACATAGGAATACATTCTTTAGTTTTTACCTTTTTAGGTTAAAGGGGAAATTCAACTAGTAGCTAATGGAAAAGAAGAATGAATATTGAGAAGCACAAAAGATGGTTTCTATAAACTCTCAGAGAAAAGGGCTTCCTGTTGCCCTCTTTCAGCGTTCAGGCAACCAACTACACAACAGCACTGTCTTCAGGGCTCTGTAACCACTTACTAAGCACAGCCGGTTACAGCCCTTGGAGAGAGAGGCCAAAGCCTACGAAATAGTGCAGCATTTTGAGAAACAGAATGAGTCTGCTTTCCAAATGCATTCACAGATGTGACCAACCAACCTTGGCCACAGCATTCCTTTAAGGGTACAAGCCATACAACCGTAATCAAGAATTCTCAAGCTATATTCACCAACAGACAAGTCAGTGGTTTTATGCTTATAAAAATAAACTTGTGAATCTTCGCTGTATTTTAACAGTATTAATGAAAGCCCCAGCAGAAGGGTTTAAGTACTGCTTAGTTCATGTATATTAATATACATCTGTACCTATTAAAATCCAACATGTAGGATCTCATACATGTAAACAATGACTTTAAGGGGAACTCTTTGCTGATATATTCAAAGGAAAGCTTACTTCAAGATATCATAGAGCATGGTGGCTGTGGCTACATTTATAAGCACTGTTAGCTGGAGGAGCCCCAGGAGCATGTGCTACCCACTGGAATCTCAGCACAGCAAGGAGAAGTGTTCAGAAGCCTCGACCTCATGGGGCAGAGCAAATTTCTGATGATGTCTATAACTACATAGATGGAGTCGTTCTGTGCAGCTCACTGCATAAATGCTGCTTTTTATTCCTGAGTAACAATCAGTACAGAACAAAGCTTTCATTGTAAAATCAGATAACTTAGTCATTACATTTTATTACTGTCAGTTTTCTAAAGAATGTTCTATAATTGAGTTCCCATTGCCATTTTTGACACTAGGGATCATAAATAAAAAGCTACATACAGTAATGCTTTTAAATACCTGCCGCAAATTGGAGGGTGAAAAGCCAGATAAGCAATTTTTAGAGTAACAAATGCAGAGTAATCAATTTTTAAAAATGGTTTGACAGAATATTTGTTTATTCTAATAAGAAAACAGTTTTCTGTCAGGCTAAATTGAAGTGAATAAATCAACATTAATGCAAAAAAAAATTAAGATGTCATTTTTCCATGATATTATTTAAACTTTTTTTTTTTTTGGTCATAGCAAAGAAACGATGACTTCATTGAGTTAGATTACACCGTTCTGCTCCATGACACTGCATCGCAGGTAACACATACGGCTTGTCTTTATTCGATGCCACTTTGAAAGTCAAGAATTGTTTGTAGCCACACCATCACTTTATTCCCTTTGACATTAAGTAGAAGTTAATGACAGTGTATCATCCTTGTAGCAACTGAATTTGCATGGTACTATTGCGGCTGAAGACATTTTAAATAGTATCATCAACAAAATATAAACCCAATTATGTTTTCCAGTTTCATAATGGCATTAACTTTCTTTACTTGTAGGAGATTATTCCCTGGCAAATGCAAGTTCTGTGGCATCCACAGTACGGCACAAAAGTAAAGCACAACAGCCGCCTCCCAAAGGAAGTGCAAGCGGAGTGAACAAGACCCTACGTTGGAGACAACCGCCAGCCAACATGCTCCTTAACCATGTGTATGCTGTCCCCACTGGTGTCTAGCCGAACAGGCCCAATGAATCCCAGTGCCAGCCTGTAGGTCATGTCTACAGTACCGAGCCGCAAAGATTCCATAATAAAGAATAGTACTACAGAAAAATGTCTTTCCAACAGTAATGGTACTATATATATCCCCTAATAAAAAGTCCACTTCAGCCTCATAGAGTCTAATTGCATTGTATACTTACGGCACAGGGGTAGCAATGGTCTCTCTAAAGGCCACTTTGGGCTTTCCTGTGATACAAGGACAGCCATATTCTCTCTCCATTCTCTGAAATGAAAGAAAAAAAAATACCACAGTAACATTCAATGTAATATAGTAAATAAATGAACAGTAAATTTAAAATTATTTTAATAACTGACAAGAATCAGATGTGATATTCTAATAACACAAACTACCTTTACATACCTTATATAAGTGAATTCTAACTTTGACTCATTAGTTTATACTTAGTACCAACTGCTCTGTCTGCCAAAATTCACAAAGTTTCATATTTGTACACAGTCACTGAAATAACATAAAGTCTGTTGTCGGGCCTTGTAATACATGATGACAATCTTGTATCTTTTGTTTACAGTTGACCATATTTACATTTGATCTTAGGAGACTTTTTTTTTTAATCTATATTGGACTGGCTCCATGTTTTAAATTTAATTGATACATTATTTTCTGAGACAGGGCTTCTCCATGTAACTGTGTTTGGAACTCATTATATATACCCAGCTAGCCTTGAACTCAAAAAAAAAAAAAAAAACACCCAGCCTTTCCCTCCTGAGTTCCAGGACTAACGGCTACCTTGCCCTGCCCTTAATTTCTAAGTGCTCATTGTTGCCTCTGTGTGTGTGTGTGTATGCCATGCTGCCATGGATGTGTGTGGGCAAGAAGAGGGCACTCCACTATGCTGGAGTGACAGGAGGTTGAGAGCTGTTCTACGAGAGTGCTAGCAACTGAATTTAAGTCCCCTGGAGGAGCAGAAAGTGAATTTAGCTACTGAGCCATCTCTCCAGGCCTCTTGAAGAAATGTCCTGGGAGGTAGGTATAAAACATGCTATCTTCCTTAAGGCTTGCTTTACTAGACCCAACTATGGACGGGGAATGGATGAAGACCTTGTTACAACCCCCAGAGTTTTGGTTCCTAGAGCCTACAATGTTTAACAAACAAAGACTTAGATAAACAAAACAAAAGTACTTTATAGCACAGCAGGGAGGCAGTGCAGTATGCCACGCTTGGCTGTAAACCACAGTAGAGCCTGCATCAGTTTACAGTCATTGAGATGTAGGACTTTCTATCTTTTCTTTCAACTAGTTCTGTAGCTGAGGATGATGACCATGTATTCCTATTCATCTTCCGGCCTCGCCTCCCAGAGTGGATTTACAGAAGTAAGTCCCCTTGCCAGGCCCCATTCCTGACTTTTAACAAGGTACACACAGTAACAAATGCAACTGCATAGAGTTCCTTTGTGATCCATACCTGAGCATAGATTTCCAGGTGCAGTTCTCCCATTCCAGACACAATTGTCTCCTTGCTCTCGGTGTCAAAGTGGACTTTAAATGTGGGGTCTTCACGTGTAAACCTGGCAATACCTTTGGAAAATTTTTCCAGATCATTCTTTAAAAGAGGAAGAAAAGTAGTATAGGATTGATTAAGCATGAAAAACAACTGTATTTTGAGATGTTACTGAATACAACCACAAACATTGGCAAATAAGAAGTAAAGAGGATCCATATCGAGTTCTACTTACAGCTTTTTTGAAAAAATGCAGCCTTGGCCACTACAGCCAAGAGACCAGGGCCCAGGCACCTGAACAAGATTTTTTCTCCATATGAAGATAGAAAACAAGGGTCCAAGACTTACCCTATCACTTCCTACCACAATAACCACACTATATCCACTTGTGGATGTGGAGACTGCCTTTGTGGAACCTGGCATTTCTAAAAATCCTCCAAATAATACAATACAGTCAGCATGCATACCAAGAACCTTCTGCAAACTCAAGGAATAAACCACTCTGTTAAGACCAACAGCAAAAGAAATATCACATCAAGATGTTTCTGTTTTGAAGCAATCTCATTGATACACCTTTGAACTTTGATGTAATCCCACACAGTAAGCAGCAGGATGGTAAGTCCACTTCTCATAACTCATAAAATAGGGACCATTCTATGAACTGTCACAGTAGGCTCAGCAAAATCACAAGAGCCTTTAAAGATGGAAGAAAGCAGAAAGGGGAGTAAAGCCAAGGCAATGAGGAAAGAAAGACAGGAGAGGGGGAAAAAGACCTAACCATTGTTGCCCACATTAAACACGGTGGGGGAGGGGGAAGGAGGACTGTGGAGAGATGTCTCAGTGGTTAAGAGAACGTTCTGCTCTTCCAGAGGACCAGGGTTCAGTTCCCAGCACCTATGTCAAGTGGCTCACAACCACCTATAACTGCAGCTCCAGGAGATCAGATACCATTTGACCTCTCTAGGAACTTGCATGCAACATGCAGATATCTACACACATATAGAGATACATAATTAAAAATAAAGACATGAAATATAGGGGGAAAGGCCAAAAAAGGTGGGTGGGCAGCATCTGGAAGCTAGGAACGGCCCTGAGGTGAAAAGGAAATGGAGACAACCCCAATTTTAGCTGTAGGAGCGCAGTTATCTCCCAAACATGAGTAACCGATGAGGCTATTTTTCCCTTAGAACTTCCAAAAAAAGAGTACAACTCTGAGCTGGCTCAGTGGTAAAGCATTTGCATCATAAGTCTGAGGAGTTGAGTCTGAATTCTCAGAAGCCACGTGACACCACGGCTACAGCAGGACTTCTGTAATCTGAGTACTCCTAAGGCCAGATGAGTGGCAGGGACAGAAGAGTCGCTGGAAGGGTGAGCAAGCCTGACACAAAGAGGTGAGGACAAAGGAGACCCTATCTCAAACTCAGGGGAAGGTGCTGGCCAACAGATGAGGTCATCCTCAGACCGTCATGAAAACACATACACATTAAGTGTTTGCATGTATAAGAAGGCAAAGACAACCCCCAAATCTCCCTGGTTCATCTTGATTTCTTTCTGTTATTGAAAGATATCAACTATAAACTCTGTAGGAATAAAAGGTATAGACATCTGTCATTTCTAACCTTGCTAGTAAGCCTTAGCAAAGAGCTTGAAACAAAGAAAGGTATCTTTCAGGGGTACGATGAGAGCCACTCTACAAGACTCTGAAAAGACGGGCTGCTTTCTTGTCTTTTGCTCCCTTGACTTTCTTTTCTATATTGGAAAACGATCTAAAAAAATCCTAAGGTTAATCAAAACAAAGTGGTAGCTGTTAATAATGTGCGTTACAGGATAATTTATCCTAATATGCTCTGTAAATGATAGTCTTCAGATGGCAAGAAGTCTTAAAATGTTCACTCAATACACTAATGAATTGATTTCAACAAGGCAACTTCGGAACTACATAATTTTGGCTCAAGATTGAACTATCTCCAACAGAGCAATATGAATGCAAGGCATTCCAACAATTTTGACTCTGTTGAATGGCAAATGATATCACACCTAATTATGAAGTTAAAAAAAGTTTTCTTATTGACTTGTGATTTATAATGAGACACTTTGTGACAACCACAAATCTAGAAATGCATTTGTCATGGTTTGTTTATGTGTGGCCCAGGGAGTAGCACTATTTGGGGGTGTGGCCTTGTTGAAGTATGTGTGTCACTGTGGGCGTGGGCTTAAGACCCTCACCCTAGCTTCCTGGAAGTCAGTCTTCCACTAACAGCCTTTAGATGAAGATGTAGAAGTCTCAGCTCCTCCTGCAGCAAGCCTGCCTGGATGCTGTCCCACCTTGATGATGATGGACTAAACTTCTGAACCTGTAAGCCAGTCTCAACTAAATGTTGTCCTTTATAAGACTTACCTTGATCATGGTGTCTGTTCACAGCAGTAAAACCCTAACTAAGACAGCATTATAATCCACAAGCTTTTAATTGACCAACGTACTGACTGAAGTTTTACTGTGACTTCAGATAAACACCGTTCTCTCCCCTTTTTAATAGACTTACCATTTAGAAGGCAGGGTTACGATAAAGTTATAAAGTACTCCCTACTGTTAAATGCTACCTATTCCCTGAACTATACTAAAGACTTACTAGAATTGACCACTAAAGGGAAAGGGCGCTCTCAGCACCAGCAGAAGCAGCAGAAACCAGCTAAGGCTAATTTGCTCATGATACCATATGCAATATGGAGACTGGAGAAAGAGAGCTCAGCTTAGAGAAACTCGTTGAAGCTTCAAACTCCTACCTTGTTAGCAGGCTTCATTGCTACTGAAATGACAGGATCAGGAACATGAATCGATTCCTAAAAATATATTTTTTAAAAAAAGCAAAATGATTCAAAGGCAGTATCATGAGTCAGTGACAGATTAATACAGTACATTAACAAGACAGAGGAGAAACCCTAGCCAACATCTTAGGCTAGACTACATAGATCTTAGTCTGTTTTGTATTAAATAAGACACGACTGTAACATTAATAAACATGGGTGTATACTTGCATGAACTGTTCCCTCCCCAAATAAAATACTTGATCTAATTTATCTACCTATTTAACGTAATCACTACAGTGAAGCTAATTAAATGTGGGCATATGGAACTCTTTTCTTTTTGTGGGCATGTACTTTATTGTTTGTTATACATTTCCCATTGCAATCTTCTAATAAGCTATTATGTTTTATTCAAAGATTTATTTATTTTATTTATATGAGTACACTGTAGCTTTCTTCAGACACACCAGAAGAGGGCATCAGATCCCATTACTGATGGTTGTGAACCACCATGTGGTTGGTGGTAATTCAACTCAGGACCTCTTGAAGAGCAGTCAGTGCTCTTAACTGCTGAGCCATCTCTCCAGACCCATGTGTTTTATTTATAATAAAGGAACAAGAAGGGTCACCAGAGTTTTTATATACACATCTTATTTGATCAATGACAGCTCTAAGAAGCAGAAAGTATCCTCATGTTACAAGCCAAGTAACTAAAGTTATTAAAAAGAACATAAAGTCACCTGGCTAAGGACCAGGCAGTAGTACTTTGCATAAGTGAGACTAACCAAGACCTATTTCCTTCACTGTCGAAGTGAGAAATTCCCACAACAACCAACCACTTCATAATGCAATGGCAAGTGTTTACTTATGGGTAACAGTGTTTTGCCTGCACGTACAAATGTGCACCATGTGTGTGCAGTAGCTTGTGAGCACAGCAGAGTGTATTGGATCCCCTGAAACTGGAGTTAGGTAGCTGTGTGCTACCATATAGCTGCTGGGAACCCAACCTGGCTCCTCTGCAAGAGTAGCCAGAGCTCTTAACCACTGAGCTATTTCTCCAACCCATGGCAAGCACTTATATAAGGCCTAATATAAAATATAAAGTGTCCTTATTGGGATCTCAAAACTGTAGACTTATGGGTTTTGTGCAGTCTTATAATAACTTATAAAACCCAGAGACTATCATATAAAAATAGGTTATAAAACTGTAATTCAACACATGATACAGGGAACTATTGAATAGACCAACTCTGATATAAGGGAACTACCGTGAATGACTGCTGTGTACTCCTACTCTTTACTGAAGCCAGGCGAGTGTCACCATCGTGCATAGGGTAGAAGACCTTGTTCTGTTATGGAAGAAGTAAGGCAGTTGGAGTGGTGTGGAGAAAAGGCAGGAACTGCTTGAGCATGTTTTTTTCTCATGGTCCTTTAGAAACCTCTGAATTCAAAGAGCCAGCTGTCTACAGTACACTACATCTGACTGTCTTCTTGGCACCCTGTCTTCTGTGGTGGTTTGAATGTGGTGGTCCTCACTCATAGGCTCATAAATTTGACTGTTTGGTTTGCAGTTACTGGGAACTGTTTTGGAAGGGATTAGAAAGCATGACTGTGTTGGGTGAACTACATCACTAGAAGTGGGCTGTGAGGTTTCAGAAGTCCCAACCCCACCCACACCCACACCCACTGCCTATGGAGCTTGATGTAAAGCTCTCAGCTACTGTTTCAACACCATGTCTGTCTGATTTCCTCAGCATGATGATCATGAACTAACCCTCTAAAGCCAGAAGCAACTCCCAAATTAAATGCTTTCTTTTATAGAGTTACCTTGATCACGGTGTTTCTCCACAGCAACAGAACAGTGACTAAAATACCTTCTAAGCATAGACACATTGTTATCCTCAAGTCTATTTAAATATTATTGTCTGGCCGGATACTTTCCTAGGTTATTGAAGAGATCTCTCCAGTTCCTGATTTAGTAAGCAGCACTTCACTAGGAGTAGCAGCCTGATAGTAACAATAATTACAGTGACACCCTCAGTGCGTAGCAGATCTCAGGGAGGAAGAGCTGGAGCTACACTTTCCAAGTGTTATGTAGTAGAGATTTCCCTTCACATTAAAACTTTGGAGGATTGTGGAATGTTTTACAAAGAAAAGCCAGGTGAGTAAGCCCACACAAAGTACTTATGCAACTGATAGTCAAAGAGCTCTAACCAACAAAGAGCGCTCAATGCAAACCTCTGTAGCTGTCTTGTTTCAGTTCAAAATACAGTAAATACAAGTAGACCTTTGACAATCAAGTGATGAACAGCGCTGCAGTCCAAGGCTTACCATAGAAAGGTCACTGTTGTCTTTGTTTGTGAATGTGTCTCCACTTGCACAGTCAATGCCAAACAATGCACAGATGTCTCCAGCATACACTTCTTCAACATCCTAAAGAAAGACACACTGCAAATTATACCTGAACATAAAAATAATCAAAGTGTAGTATGAAACAACTGCACTGTAAATACACTGCCCATGAGCAATGCAGAAATCCTATAGGAATTCTATAGACAATGAGCAAATCCAACACCAACAATCCTGCCAAGACATGTCTTCAGCAGGTCTTTAAGACACTGTCTATCTCAACTGACAACATTTTACACTCAGTGGGAAAGTCTAGAGCTATTGCTTTTTTAACTGTTCGGTTTTAAAAGTAGGGGTTACACTGTACTGCCTCAGGACAGTGAGACCACATACAGGACAGACATATAAGGAAAACTCAAAGGAAGTTTCATAAACAAAGGTGAATGGAAGCCATTGTACTAAAAATATTTTTTTAATTTCTCACATATGCAAGCAATAGGAAAACACAGGAAGGCCAGAACAAAGCACTGCTGCCTCCTGGCTTCCGAGTCATTGTCCTTCCCCTCAGGCTTCATTCAGAACAGCTGCGGTGTGTGTGCCTTTCTTTGGTGACACATATTTGCTTGAGTCTGGCATGAAATATCTGTGACAATTATTAACTCTCTAGCCTGCTCCTTGCTGCTTATTTTGCAAAGCTGGCAAGTTTTGTGACTACCTATTCATCTTCCAAGAGACAAAAGGTACGTCTTCTAAGAACTTCCTATTTTTCACTTCAATGACTAGGTCTCCCTGGGTCACAGAGCTAGACCAGAGAGAGGACTGTCCTCGCACTGGTATTCTTGCCATGGCCTATGGATAAGGACTACAAAGGGCTGAGGTGTAGTTAAGTCAAAAACCCACACCACCTCCAGAAGTTACAGACAGATGTTCAGGTGGATTCTGCAAGCTGTATGGCAGAGTTTCTATTATACATTCCAGGCTGGCCTTGTGAGTCTGCCTTCCCATCCTGAATGCATGTCCCGTCACTGCCAGCATCTTTATGGCTCTTGAGAAAAGCACTAAATCTTGTATTGCACAGGAATAAAGGCTCTAGTGCTAACAGGAGTTTCTCAGACAGCGAATCCATGAAATCACTTAAAAAACTGTGAATTTATTACTCATTTATCTTTAGGAATTATACTTCTAAATGCTTCTAACACTCCTTCTCTCTCTCCAGACAGGGAGTGTCCCCTTATGTATTCCAGGCAGGCTTGTGAGTCTGCCTTCCCATCCTGAATGGAAGTACCGTCACTGCCAGCATCTTTATAGCTCTTGAGGAAAATACTAAATCTTGTGCCAAGTCCCTTCCTGAACATTGGCCTCTGAGGAAGTATAGCTATCTACTAACTTGCATAAAACAAGCTCTTAACACCTGCCAACTTGTTTAACCTCCAGCAAGGTGCTGGTCAGAGTCACACAACAGCTGTGTACAAAGGAAGCGAGGAAAGCCCACGTTCAAGGCGCAAACAGCAGGAAGGCAAGCCCACCTCTCCTACCGCATCCCTCATATACTTGCCTCCATCATGTCGGCGTGCATGCGCACTAGCCGCTGCACTCGCACTTTCTTTCCGGTCCTCGTGTTGTAGATGGTGCTTCCCTTCTTCAGTTCACCTTGATAATTTCGGACATAAGTTAACTGTCCGAAACGGCCTGCCTACAAGTTAAGATTGGATTTTTAGAAGAACAAAGGAAACTGAATTTGAAAGGAAAGCTTTCCAGCTACCTCCAGATATTCTTTCAGTTTTAGAAATTATCTTACATACATTTCAGTTTACTGTCACACTATATAGGCATTTGAATATCAACTCACTATACAGCCATTGGAGTATCAATAAGATCAAGGAAACGACTGTTGTCAATCCATCTTTTTGGTACCAGAATCCAATATATTGGGCTTCTAATAAAAAATATTATCATATTTTTTATTATTTACATTAAGGTATCTTTTGCTTTCTAACATTTCAAAAATTCAGTTTAATACAATATGGTATGAAAAATTTGGTGTAATTATAAAGAAAATATACCCTTATCTGTCTAAAGCCACCTTTAACAATTATTTGGAAAGTACACAAGAGTTCTAGGAAGAGACTAGATAGATGGTCCATGCTGGACTATTAGATACATACTTAAAGAGTTGCCATTTCTTATCATGTTAACGTATATAGTTAGTGGGACAGCAACAAAAGCCCAACGGAAGTTCTCGAGATGTACTTTTTACAAGTACAGGTATCTGTGTATTTGGGGGTAGAGCAGGGGCAGGTTAGGTGCCACAATGCAGGAGTGGATGTTAGAGAACAGTGGTACAGAATCAGCTCTCCTTCCACCACAGGGCTTCTGCGATCACACTCAGGCCATCAGGTCTGGTGCTAACAGCCTTAGCTCACTGACCCATCTCACAGCTCCCAACAGAAATGTTAATTAAGTGACCTTAAAGTTCACTTAGAAGGATGTGTAAAAACAGACTTTTCTCTAAAAGCACAGCAATGAAAAAAAAAACTGATATAAAACATCAAATGCTCATATGTAAAAGTTTACCACTATAGCCATAAAGAGCAAAAGCCATGCCATTTTAGAAAAATAAATGGAACTAGAGACTATATATTAAGCAAAATAAATCAGACATGGAAAGACATTTTTAAAATCTTTTCTTTGCCATGAGGGATCTAGCTTTAAAATTATACACAGAACATGAAAGTATACAGATCATACTGGGGAAGAAGAAGGGACCAAAGGGAGGAATAACAGAGTGTAATGAGAATTGGCAGAGAACCAGAACACGTTATATTAACAATTCATAAGAATATAATATAAATATCAAGAGTATAAAATATGTTCACTAATGGATGGTAAAGGAAGCAATAGTTAATAGAAATGTACAGAACTGTTTTCAGAATGGCAACTGGACAACTGGTTTTCTATGTACACACACATGTACACTCTCTATGTAGCTTACACACATTACGGTACTTCACTAACTCTGACCCAGAAAGACAAGCGTCTCAAATTCTCTCTCCTGTGGATCCTAGCTTTGAATTTCACATTCTCAGCATTTACTGTGAAATTCTCTAGAAACATGGGCATAGTGACTAGTAGACTGCCCACACCTCACACTTACGCACATGTGGTTAAGCACTAACTGTATTCTGTGGGTTATTTAAAAAAAAACAAAACAGAGGGCTTGAGGGATGGCTCAGCTGTTAGGAACACTGCTCTTCCTGAGGGAGGTCCTGAGTTTAATACCAGCACCCACATGACAGTTCATAGCCTCTATAACTGTAGTCCTATGGAATCTGGTGCCCTCTTCTGGTGTGCAGATGTACATACAGACAAAACACCTATAAGCATGAAACATACACAAATAAATAAATAAATCCTTTTTTAAAAGCATATTAACAAAGGACAGGAAAGCACTGAAAGAGTCCACAGGATGGGAGGGAGATCTGGGTTACATATGATCAAAATCCATTGCAGGCATGAATAAAATTATCAAATAAAAATGTGCTCTAAGGCCGGGCGGTGGTGGCGCACGCCTTTAATCCCAGCACTTGGGAGGCAGAGGCAGGAGGATTTCTGAGTTCGAGGCCAGCCTGGTCTACAGAGTGAGTTCCAGGACAGCCCGGGCTACACAGAGAAACCCTGTCTCGAAAAACCAAAAAAAAAAAAAAAAAAAATCTTTGGAGCTGGAGAGATGGCTCAGTGGTTAAGAGCACTGACTGCACTTCTAGAGGTCCTGAGTTCAAATCCCAGCAACCACATGGTGGCTCACAACCATCTGTAATGAGATCTGATGACCTCTTCTGGTGTGTCTGAAGACAGCTACAGTGTATTCATATATAATAAATAAATAAATCTTTAAAAAAAAAATGTGCTCTAAAAAAGAAGGCTATATTTAAATATATAAAAAGGAAATATCAGGAAGAAAAAAGATCCAACCTCACAATACACATCGGAACACATTCCAGTTGTATTAACAATGCAAAGACAAAACCAGAAAAATAAAAGGACATGTCAACAAAATATAGAGAGTCCCCAAATTACAAATGAAAAGAAAAATGAACAGACTGATATTTTACAACAAAGTTTAAAAATACAGCTTGGACCAAAACCCCGCCCCTCCAGAATACCACTCCCCTTTGCCCCCCCCCCCCCCCCCTGGGTCCTTTTGGCAGGGGCAGACACCTAGCTGGTCTGCTCCAGTGAAGACACCTTATCCTGAGCCATCCTAGGGAAACCACTGTACTCAGAGCAGCAGGATTTCAGGATCCCAGAGGTGGCCTGCGTCCCAGCAGTTCTTCCACTCAGGAACTAAGGATCACAGACACATCTGGACTCTGAGGAGTTCTAACACAAGCAAGATAACTGGAAAGACAGGCTCCAGTCAGAGACAGTGAGTGCAGGCAGTACTAGAGTTAACCAGATGGCAAAAGGCAAGCACAAGAACATAAGCAATAGAAACCAAAGTTACTTGGCATCATCAGAACCCAGTTCTCCCACCACAGCAAGCCCCGGACACCCCATCACACCAGAAAAGCAGGATCCATAATTAAAATCACTTCTCATGATGATGATAGAGGACTTTAAGAGGGATGTAAAATAGCTCCCTTAAAGAAATACAGGAGAACACAGGTAAACAAGTAGAAGCCCTTAAAGAGGAAACACAAAAATCCCTTAAAGAACTGCAAGAAAACACAACCAAACATGTGAAGGAATTAAACAAAATCATGCAGGATCTAAAAATGGAAGTAGAAACAATAAAGAAATCTCAAAGGGAGACTACTCTGGAGATAGAAAACCTAGGAAAGAGATCAGGAGTCATAGACGCATGCATCACCAACAGAATAAAAGAGATAGAAGAGAGAATCTCATGTGCAGAAGATAGCATGGAAAACATTGACATAACTGTCAAAGAAAATGTAAAATCCAAAAAGCTCCTAACCCAAAACATCCAGGAAATCCAAGACACAATGAGAAGACCAAACCTAAGGATAATAGGTATAGATGAGAGTGAAGATTCCCAACTTAAAGGGCCAGTAAACATCTTCAACAAAATTATAGAGGAAAACTTCCCTAACCTAAAGAAAGAGATGTCCATGAACATACATGAAGCCTACAGAATGCCAAATAGACTAGACTAGAAAAGAAATTCCTCCCATCACATAATAATTAAAACATTAAATGCACAAAACAAAGAAAAAATACTAAAAGCAGTAAGGGAAAAAAGTCAAGTAACATATAAAGGCAGACCTATAAGAATTACACCAGACTTCTCACCAGAGACTATAAAAGCCAGAAGATCCTGGACAGATATGATACAGACCCTAAGAGAACACAATTGCCAGCCCAGACTACTATACCCAGCAAAACTCTCAATTACCATAGATGGAGAAACCAAGATATTCCATGACAAGACCAAATTTACACAATATCTTCCCACAAATCTGGCACTTCAAAGGATAATTGATGGAAAACTCCAACACAAGGAGGGAAACTACAACCTAGAAAAAGCAAGGAAGTAATCTTCCAACAACCCCAAAAGAAGATAGCTACACAAACATAATTCAACCTCTAATAACAAAAATAACAGGAAGCAACAATCATTTTTCCTTAATATCTCTTAACATCAATGGACTCAATTCTCCAATAAAAAGATGTAGACTATCAGATTGGATACATAAACAGGACCCAGAATTTTGCTGCATACAAGAAACGCACCTCAGTGACAAAGACAGGCACTACCTCAGAGTAAAAGGATGGAAAACAATTTTCCAAGCAAATGGTCCCAAGAAACAAGCTGGAGTAGCCATTCTAATATCAAATAAAATCAACTTTCAAACAAAAGTAATCAAAAAAGATAAGGAAGGACACTTCATACTTACCAAAGGAAAAATCTACCAAGATGAACTCTCAATTCTGAATATCTATGCTCCAAATGCAAGGGAAGTGCAAATCAAAACAAACCTGATATTCCACCTCACACCAGTCAGAATGGCCAAGATAAAAAACTTAGGTGATAGCAGATGCTGGCGAGAATGTGGACAAAGAGGAACACTCCCCCATTGTTGGTAGGATTATAAGCTGGTGCAACCACTCTGGAAATCAGTCTGGCAGTTCCTCAGAAAACGGGACATAGCATTACCTGAGGATCCAGCTATACCACTTCTGTGCATATACCCAGAAGATGCTCTAACATATTACAAGGACACATGCTCCACTATGTTCATAGTAGCCTTATTTATAATAGCCAGAAGCTGGAAAGAACCCAGATATCCTTTAACAGAGAAATGGATACAGAAAATGTACATTTACACAATGGAATATTACTCAGCTATTAAAAGGAATGAATTCGAGAAATTCTTAGGTAAATGGATGGAACTAGAAAATATCATCCTGAGTGAGGTAAACCAATCACAAAAGAACACACATGGTATTCACTTCACTGATAATTGGATATTAGCCCAAAAGCTGGCAACATCCAAGATAGAACTCACAGACCACATGACTCTCATGAAGAAGGAAGACCAAGTGTGATGACTCTTATGAAGAAGGAAGACCAAGTGTGGGTGCTTCGTCCTACTTAGAAAGGGTAACAAAATACTCAAGGGAGCAAATATGGAGACAAAGCGTGGGACAGAAACTGAAGGAGGGGATGTCTGGAGACCATTCCACCTGGGTATCCATCCCATGTGCAGTCACCAAAGGTAGACGCTGATGTGGATGTCAGGAAATGCATGCTGACAGGAGCCTGATATAGGTGTCTCCTTAGAGGTCTGCCAGAGCCTGAAATATACAGAGGCAGATGCTCACAGCTAACCATTGAGCTGATCATGGGGTTCCCAATGGAGGAGTGAGAGAGAAGACTGAAGGAGCTGAAAGGGTTTGTGGCCCCATGAGGAGAACAACAATACCAACCAACGAGACCTCCCAGGGTCTAAACCACCACCCTGGGAGCACATAGGGAGGGGCCCATGACTGTATATGTAGGGGAGGATGACAGTGTCAGGCATAAGTGGGTGAGGAAGTCCTTGGTCCAGTGAAGTGTGGGGGAAATCGTGGGTGGGGAGGTGGGAGTGGGAGGGTGGGTGGGGGAATATCCTCATAGAAGCAGGAGGAAGAGGGATGGTATAGGAGGTTCCTGGGTTGGGGGAAAAGGAGATTACATCTAAAATGTAAATACAATATCCATAAAAAAAAATCCAGCTTGTTGTTAAGTTTGTATAAATAAGTAAAATACCTTGGCCTAAATAATAAAAGAATGAAAGTCTGTATTTGCATTTACAAAAAAGAAATGCAGACAGAAATGGCTCAGTGGTTAACAGCATGTGTTGCTTCTCCAGGACCTGGGTTTAGGTCCCAACACTCCATGCCTGTAACTCCATGGGATCTGGCGCCCTCTTATGGCCTCTGTGGGCTCCTGCACTCATGTGCCTACACCCTCACACACAAAACACTAAGGAAAAACAAAGCTTAAACAAAGTATGACTGCTCTGTAAACACACAGAAAGCAGCTATTTCCTCCAAACTGAACCATTTCCACCACATCCCTACCTGGAGAGAAGAGCCTGGTTCATGAGACTCAGAGAACTAAGAAACCTTGCAGGACTCAGGAAGCTCAGAAGGTGTTAAGATTCAAGAGCCCTCCCTGTGGCTAGAAGCAGAAAAGTTCTGGGGAAGAACACTGGGTGCAGCAGCCTGCTAACTGGGCAGAGATCTCCATGGATGCAACTTTCAAGAGGCCTCGACCATGAAGGGCTGGGTACTGGGTGCTACAGCTGTCCAGGGCCCACCCATGCTCCTGTAGGCTGCCCCAGTAAACTCACTGGTCCACCGCGCTCCATGGACTCAGGCGGGTGCATCACCTCACTCTGTCACTTGTGCCCTATCTGGGTGGTAGATGCTTCCTTCCTCATGAGAAAGCACTTAACAGCCAAACATAATGACTTCTTTTTAAGGAGTGTAGTAAGAAGGGGAGAGAAAATGAAAGGCAATTTTATATGGAAGAACCCTGACAAAGCCTACCTAAGACAGGTGATCAAGGTTAGCATAATAGTAAATCTGCATGCTTAATGTGTGACAAGAATGACATTTCCTCTGCTGCCATGTCTGTCACCCACCAACCAATCTAATCCTCACAGAAACATCAGAGTCTCAAATGGAAAGACATCCTTGACTACTACTTCTCCAAAATGTCAAGGGCATGGAAAGCAAGGGAGGAAAAACATGTAAGAAACAGTCCCAGGAGCTGTGCTAGGGTCTCCACTGCAGTAATAAGCACTGTGGTCAGCGTGACTAGGGAGGAAGGCTTCAGCTTCAAGTTCCAGCACATGCAGCACTGGGGAAGGCAGGGCAGGAACTCAAGCAGGGCAGGAATCTGGAGGCAGGAGCTGATGCAGAGGCCATGGAGGGATGCAGATACTAGCCTGCTCCACCAGTCTGGGGATGGTACCGACCACATTACTCATCATCCAAGAACAAGCCCCACAGGCCAATCTGGTAGGAGTATTTTCTCAGTTGAAGTTCCCTTTACCAAAATGACTCTAGCTTATGCCGAATGTGACATAAAACTAGCTGTGACAGAAGCCTAGGACGATAACGGAATCTAATGTGTTAGCTGAATGAAATACCATCAGGAAGGGATATAAGCAATAACCACAGATATCTGAATAAATGTGGGTTTTATTAATAATAAATTAATACTGTTCCATCAGTTGCCATTAGTTGCTGTTTACTAAGAGGAAATGGAATGAAGTCTCTGTACAAATCTAAAAAATGTGTTTTTTAAAAAATTACAACTTCTCATGTCAAAAAAAAGAAAAGAAAAATAGGTAGGTATCTTGGCTGGAGCGATGGCTCAGCAGTTAGGAACATTTAGTTCCCAGCACCCACATGGTGACTAACAACAGTTTGTGACTCTAGTTCCAGAGGATCAAAACCCCTTTTGGCATCCATGGGCCAAAATAATACAACATTAAAATAAGTAAGCATCTTGACTATTAAAGTCTAAATACTACAACGTTATAAAGTTATACCTCATCCACTTACACAAACTGCAATAGCTGTGCATTTCCAACTATCTGTAGATTACAGGTTTTAAAAACAGAGCTGGTGCCAGGCGGTGGTGGTGCACGCCTTTAATCCCAGCACTTGGGAGGCAGAGGCAGGCGGATTCGAGTTCAAGGCCAGCCTGGTCTACAGAGTGAGTTCCAGGACAGCCAGGGCTACACAGAGAAACCCTGTCTCGAAAAACCAAAAAAAAAAAAAAAAAAAAAAAAAAAAAAAAAAAAAAACTTCTACAGACAGCTATAAGTAAGTTAAATAGCAACTTACCTCCAGTTTAAAAGCCAGGCCTACAAATGGGTGGGAATCATCTCTTTTGGGGTTCATTAAGAGTTTGGTCTTCTCTTTTGAGTCACTTAAAAGAAAAGAAATATAAAACTATGAAATAGAACACTTAATCTTTGTGTGCGGTGTATGTGTGGTGGTGAGCACACGTGTATATATGTATCTGCATGCATGCACAGAGGCCAGGGGTATCCTGGGGTCACTCTTGGCCTTACTCTTCTGAGATAGGGTCTCTCACTGAACCTGCAGTTAGGCTGGCAGCCAGCACACCCCAGACATCCTCCTGTCTCCACACAGGCCCCTCTCACCCCACCCAAGCACCAGCATCATAAGCACACCAGCACCCATGGCTCTTGCTTGCCTCTTCTCGCTCCCTCAGCGAGCATGCTTCCCCACTGAGCCATCTATCCAGCCCTTCCTACTTCTTCCACATCAGTTTGTTCTTACCAAGGAGAAAAGAGCGCTTGCTGAGAATTTCTGGTTTACACACAAACAAGTCTCACTGAAAGAGTTCAGTAAGAAGAACGAGTCCTAAGGGCTTCGTAACTTATGGACAGGACCAGAGCAGATTAATCCACTGAACTCTGACACAGCATGCAGAGCAATGATCCACTAGAGCCTTACAAACGTGTCTTTCCTTGTTGTTGCTTTACATTCCATTTATTTTGTGTTATTTTATTTTTTGCATGGGTGGGGACATGTCTGGAGAGTCTGAGGACAACTTCTGTGAGCGGGTTCTCTCCATCCACCATCTGGGTTCTGAGAGTCAAACTGATCTCATGAAGCTTGGTAGTTGACACCTTTATCTGATACGCTATCTCACTGGCCTGAATTTCATGGTTTTGTTTTTTCTTTTTAAACTAAAAAGATTCTATAACTGAAAATGAATGATACCAAATTTTAAAAAATTAATTCTTTAAACCTTGAGAGATAATAAAACAAATCATACTTCTAAGTCACAAATGATATGGGAATCTACCTGTACAGTAAACATTCTCCTATACACCAAAACTGATATAACTAAAAAATGGTGATTTTTGTGAATGAGGAAAGAAAATCATAAAAACAAATGAAAGAACAATCCTTAAACTTTTTCATAGTGTGCTAGTATTACAGGGTCTTTTCATGTGGCAATACTTACTTCTGATTGAGTATAGCGTAATTCTGGACTTCCGATGGGTTGGGGAGGTATTCTAAAACAGCATCCAAAAGTGGCTGAATGCCTTTGTTCTTCAAAGCACTTCCCACAAGCACAGGAGTAAAGGATCTACTCAGAGTAGCTCTCCGGATTGCTAGCTACAGAGTAAGAGAAAATGACTCATGTTAACAATTTATGCTCCAGGTCAATTACGAATACACAAGCAATATGAACTGATACTCTAAAGTGCTGGTTCCAGGGAAGGGACAAAAATAACATCTCAATAACTCAGTCAGCATACTGAAAAACAGGGGAAAATTGTCTTTCTTATACAAGCGCCAATAGCTGATTTATGCAACAATCACTTTTGACACTCCTAAAATCATTCTTTTTTTATTTGGTATCAAAGAGGTACATACATATAAAATAGACACATAGAATACTGTAAACTGTATGCTAACAATTTTATAAGAGGGAGAAGATACACAGACAGCTGGGTGTGGAAGCACATACCATTAATCCCAGCACTCGGAGGCAGAGGCAGTTGAATCTCTATGTGTACAAGACCAGCCAGTTAAGGTTGAATTTAGTAAGACCTTGTCTCAAAACCAAAACAAAAACAAATCTCTGGGAAAATTTATCAGAAAGTTGTTTTAGAATGGGGCAGAGAAATGGTTTAATATGATAGGACCATGTTTGCTGTAAACCTTTGTGGGTTTTTTTTTGTTGTTTTTTTGTTTTTTGTTTTTCGAGACAGGGTTTCTCTGTGTAGTCCTGGCTGTCCTGGAACTCACTCTGTAGACCAGGCTGGCCTTGAACTCAGAAATCCGCCTGCCTCTGCCTCCCAAGTGCTGGGATTAAAGGCGTGCGCCACCACCGCCCGGCTCTGCTGTAAACCTTTGTGAAGATTAGTTTTTAATGCACAGTTCAGACTCCCAGGGTAGGGGTGTGTGTGTGTTGAACCTCTGAAAATGTCTTTAGGGGATTATGTTTCCCTCTGCTTAGTTTCCTCTCAATGGAATTAAACTATGTGCTACGTGCTGTGAATTCCCATGAGTTACTAAACCTTTGGGAGTAATCTTAAAAACCTGACATATTTGAATAATAGACACCCCCGTCCGTCTATCATGGTTTCCAAATATATACTTGTTGTCATGTCGGGTTAGACCGACGTGTCTTCGAGCGCTCTCTACTCATCCTTTCAGACAAAGAACTCACATCACAAGACAGGGTTCCAGTTTAACTTCAGTGAAAATCAGTACGGACTCAGCTGCAATCGGGTCCTTTTTGTGTCTGAGTGCTATTTATTGACTTTACATTTATATGTCACATCTTATGTAAAATCTAATCTCTGCTACACATAACAAGTGACTTAAAAAGATTAATGTCTTCATAAAATACATAAAATTACCGTTTTAATCATTTTGAACCATATAACTCAACAACATTCTGTACAGGCACAGTGCTATACAGCTCTCATCATCATCCAGCTTTAAAATGTTTATTTTCTCAAATTAAAACAACAGTTCCCTGAGGCCTATACAGAGACTAGCAACTCACATAATCACCACTTTACTTATTTTTGACTTTTTGAGAAAAAAAATATTCACTCCATAGACCAGGCTACTCACTATGTAGCCCAGGATGACCCTGGACTAGTGGGAATTGTCCATCTCAGTGTTCCAGGTACCAGGATCACCGGCCCAGGTCTGCACACTCAGCTCACCCTACTCTCTATGAATCTGACAAATCTTGGTGTACCACATAAACAAAATCATAAAATACCTATCTCAGAGGCTTAGCGTTTTCACCAAAATGTCTTCACAGTTCATTTACATTGTCATATTACTCAGAATTTTGCTTTTTTTAGGGATAAAAAATATTTATATGTACAGACTGCATAATGTTTATACATTAACTCGTTTTACTGGACACTCATTAAAGCGGTATCTCTAGTCTGTGTTGTGGATAGTGCCTCTGGAGTTGCTGAGGTACAACTCAATTATTGGGACGTTCTTTCTCGGGGTGTGCCTCCAGGGAGAGGCTTACTGCCATACTGTTTCCCACAGTGTTCGTTACATTTCTACCAGAAAGGCCCAAGGGTTCACACTTTTCCAGATCCCCATCAATACATGCTTCCTGGGTTTTTGTTTCTTTGGCTAGCTGGTTGGTTGGTTAGTCTTAAATAACATTCATCTTAGTAGCATGAAGGATATTTCACTGTGACTTTGATTTGTATTTTTCTAGTGATTAGTACTGCAATTTGAATATCTTATTTTGGGGAAATGTTTATTAAAAAGTCTTTTGTAAGAATCTTCATTTTTTTATGGAAGTGAATTGTATTAAATATTTTTACTCAGATTTCATTAATAAAGCCCATTAGCAAAAGAATCTATGTTCTCCACCCCAAAATTAACCCATTTTTAAACTATATAAGATTAAGAGCACTGGCTGTTCTTCCAGAGGACAATGGTTCAAGTCAATCATCCACATGGCCATTCACAATCATCTGTAACTCCAGTTCCAGGGAACAAGTGCCTTCTTCTGGCCCCCAAAGGCACTGCATGCAGGGAAAACATTTTAAAAAACTGTTTTTAAGAATACCTATTTTTGAGAGCACTTGCCTTTAAATCAGAAACTGAGGGGATTTTTTCTTCCAGAAACAGCTCACCAAGCTGCTCATCTGAATTAGCAACACATTCAATCAGCTCCTGCCGGTGGTCAGCTGCTGCGGCCCTCAACTCAGCCGGAATCTCATCACACCGGACAACCTGACTAAGACAAAGAATGCTTTACTCTCATAACTCTAGGAATGTTCAGTTACACATATAAACATCAAGGGTAGGACTAACAACTAAGGTGTTATCAAGTTTTCCAAAAATGATACACGATGGAATATAAAATTCTTCCCAATTTAATATAAACTGACTTATCTTATTCTAGAGATTAAAATGAGCCACAAACACATGGTCAAAACAATGACTTGGGAGCCAAGTGTGGGGGCACATGTCTTTGATCCCAGTACTCAGGAGGTAGAGGCAGTCAATCCCTGTGAGTTTGAGAACAGCCTGGTCTACATGGCACGTTCTAGGCAGTCAGGACTACACAGAGAGACCCTGTCTCAAAATAAGGAAAAATAACAAAAAACTCTTAGAAAAGTTATTAATTAAATAAGAGATTAAAATTCTCTTCAGTGTGGCTACAGGACTATTTTTACTGCCATCTAACTGGAAAGCAAAGAAAAAAAAACATCATTTATTTAATACCTGAATTACAGCAGGATGAAACTGGAGATCTGCTAATACTCACACAAAAGTTTCTACTATCTCAATTTTTACATGAGAAAGCTAGTTTAAACAAACTAAGTTAACATCAGCTAATTTTCAAGCTAACCTATCTGATCTGAAGGCTTTAAGACAGACAGCCTTTGTCTATTCTGAAGCACGCCACCTGTCTTGAAGTGGGTGGGGTGGGCTTTGAGATAGAATCCTGCTGAGTAGTCGGTGCTGGCCTGAAGCTGGCTCCTGCCTCAAGCCCTAAGTGCTAGGATGGTAAGCTTGTGCCATCAAGTCTGGCTTTCCATTTTAATATACATGGCTTAAATACATTTGGACTGACATTGCTAACTATTAAGTATGTTATATCTTTTAGTTGTTACAGTTGGTATGTTTATTACTTTCCTGTCAACCCCTAAAGCAGCGGCTCTCCACCTGTGGGTCCTGACCCCTTTGCAGGCCACATATCAGATTTCCTGCGTATCAGGCATTGACATTACAATTCAGTCATTAACATTCAGGCACATTTCAAAAAGATAGTCTATGTTTAACTTAGGTCTTCCTTTTCTTTGCTGTTTTTCAAAATGTAAGGTTTTAGTACTTTAGGACTTACCCAAAGTCTCCATCAAAGTAAATAGCTCGTTCTTCGATAAGGTCTATAATTCCCTTAAAATCACCCTCTAAGCCAATGGGTATTTGCACAAACGCAGCATTGTGATTCAGTTTGGATCTGAAAAACAAAAACATTTGTTTGCTTCTTCTCTCAAAATTACTTTGAAATGACAAGAGGGAAAAAGGCAAAGGAACAAGGGCAGACATCAGGGCTGAGAGGCACCAGCAGCAGAAGAGAAGCTATACAGCAACTGAAACAGACGCCAAACTCAAGGAGCTAAACAAGCTAGCCCATCGGAACAACAAAGAACACAGAGTAATCTTTCACCCGAGACTCTCTCAAATGCTCATGCAGAAGCAGAAGGGAAAGACAAAAAAATCAATTGCAGGTGACCAGGACATTAAAAGTCAGTGGGACAGCAGAACCTAGTTCTCTTTTTTTTTTTTTTTTTTTTTTTTGGTTTTTCGAGACAGGGTTTCTCTGTGTAGCCCTGGCTGTCCTGGAACTCACTCTGTAGACAAGGCTGGCCTCAAACTCAGAAATCCACCTGTCTCTGCCTCCCAAGTGCTGGGATTAAAGGCGTGCGCCACCACTGCCTAGCTGCTAGTTCTCATTCTTAAACCGAGTATTTGGAGCTGGAAAGATGGCTAAGTGGTTAAGAACACTTCCTGCTCTTCTAGAGGATCTGTCAGGGAGTTCACAAATGCCTGCAACTCCAGCTCCTGGAGACCTAACACCTCCTTCTCACCTCCCTGTATATCTGAATGAATGGCATATACTTACAGAGACCCACATACACATAAATAAAAGTTGCAGGATATTTGATCACAAGATTGTGTTATTTGCTGAAAACAAAACAAAACAAAAACAAAAAACCTGTTTCTTGTTGTAGTGTGCCCCAAACCTTAGCACAGACCTTTGAAGATAAAATTAGTTTGTACAAGGAAGCAGCCGTGTTTGAAAGTGATGTCTAATTGGGTGGCAGACAAAGTGACAAATCAGAGAAAGATTTGACAGACTAGGATATGCCCAGCTCTCATGAGACGAGGGAGGAAAAGGGAAGCTACTTATGAGAGAGCAGTGCAGAGAAGAGGAGGCAGTTTTACCAGGACAGTTGGAGAGAGACAGGTTCAAGAGAGAACAAGCTAGACACAGATGAAGAAGAATGAGCCAGAGGGTGAGCAGAAGGTAGATTAGAACAGATTGCCAAAGTTAATATGAAGCCAAGTACAGCAACTCAGTCAGAGGCCGAGAGAGAAGCCAGATTGAATCAGTCAGCTTGGAGAGGAGTTTGCGCCAGAACAGCTGAGTTGAACCAGCCATCCAGAATTCAGAAAGAATAGAAAGGATGAGCTTACTCAGCAGTAAGTCTCAAAGACTAAAAAAGAGGATAGAAACTTTCAGGACTAGGCCTACATTAGCAGATTAAGGAAGTAAGCCTTGGAGACAACAATTACAACAAGAGAATAAACGTTACTTTTCCATAAAAGTCTAAAAAAAAATTTTTTTTTCGTCTTTAGAGACAGGGTTTCTCTGTGTAGCCCTAGCTGTCCTGGAACTCACTCTGTAGACCAGGCTGGCCTCGAACTCAGAAATCCACCTGCCTCTGCCTCCCAAGTGCTGGGATTAAAGGTGTGTGCCACCACTGCCTGGCCTAAAAATTATTTTTAAAAGAAATGTGTTAATATCTAAGAATAGTTACCCGAGGAAAAAAAATAAAATTCAAATTAAGATTCTATAGTGCTAAGGATTAAACCAAGGCCAGGCACATACTAGGCAAGTGCTTTACTACTGAGCTATATTGCCAGACCAATCTTAGAGATTTGAAAAGATCTCTATGAAAAATGATATTACAGTAAATGAAAAATTTATGAAAATTAGCTACATAATTGCTGAATATTTTTAAAAGGCAAAGTAACAGAAAAGGCACAGAAGACTATCAAATTTATGAGCTTTTTAAAAAACCACAAGAATTCTTTTTAGGCCAATATGATTGCTCAATTGCTAATGACATGAAATCTTGACTAAAAAGCTTGAAAAACCCAGTTACCGGAGCCCATATTAACATGGAAGACGCCACCCACAGAGCCGTCCTTTGATTCCTATGTGTGAGTGGTATGGGCTCACACAAACACTGATCATTCACACAGACATTCAAAACACACACACACAACACACACACGAATAAAAATGATCTCTCTTATGAGCCAGTGCCCAAAAAGAGGGAGAGAAAGCATGGCAGAAGACGGAAGATGATACAAGAAGGCCAGATCCAAAAGTCCCCAAATCTGCTTCATAAGCACGCCAAACTGAGAAAAGACACCCAGGAGTCACACAAGGAGCCAAAGTAATCAAGTCACAAAGAAAGAGAAGTTTCTCGAAATCGGGACAAGAACTAGAAGAAAGAGTTCATCTAGCCGGGCAGTGGTGGCGCATGCCTTTAATCCCAGTGCTTGGGAGACAGAGGCAGGCAGATTTCTGAGTTCGAGGCCAGCCTGGTCTACAGAGTGAGTTCCAGGACAGCCAGGACTACACATAGAAACTCTGTCTCGAAAAACCAAAAAAAAAAAAAGTTCATCTAGAGCTAACCATCAATAAGGACCAAACACTGTTTACTTTTACCAACAGATACTTCAAACATCAAAGAAGATAAACATCACTGTCACATTTTCAAATACATCCTCTGCCAGATGTTTTGTCATCAGATATACAGCTCTTAGCCCACTTACCACCACAAGAGTTTCAGGCCATCAGCTCTGCTGGGTAAAATCTGAGAGAGGCATAATGCTACATTTGACACGTTTGTTCAGAACAAAACCTTCTAGTTTATCTAAAGAAAGCATAAGTACTTCCAGCATCTACAGCTTCCCTAACAGCAGCACAGCCACACAGTGTGGTGATTTTCTGGAATCAACTACGCTAGAAATACAAGATACATTTTCCCCATTTCACAGGGTAAATTAAACCACTGAGATGATGTTCCATTTACTAAGTTCACAGACATGCAGTTTTGAATCAAAAAAGAAACTTTAGGATACAACTTAATAATGGAGTTAACTGTCCTGAATGTGAAGGCCAGCATGCCCGAGGCTCAGTACCTCATTTGTTGAAGGGCCCTGGCTGGGTTGGAGCCCATCCGGTCCAGTTTGTTAATGAAGGTTAAAAAGGGAACGTTGTAGCGCTTCATCTGACGACTGACTGTCATGGTCTGGCACTGGACTCCACCAACCGCACAGAGAACAAGGACCGCACCGTCCAAGACCCGCAGGGCCCTTTCCACTTCTATGGTAAAGTCCACGTGGCCTAAAGGGGACAAAACAGCAAGGGAGGGTCTTAAAGAACAGTCTGAATTTTTAAGATACAAACTACTTGTTCTTGTTAGGTTTCCTATTGCTGTGCTAAAACACTGACCAAAACCAACATGGGGTATAAAGCGTTTATCTGGCAAACTTGTCTCTAGTTTGTGTCAAGGTGACAAAAAACTAATCAAGACACTTGATCCCCTGTCAACCCCACATAACAATATAATCTTAAACAATAATCTCTTTTTTGTTTATCCTCAAGACCTCATTTAATATCAGTATCACAATATAAAACAGGACTTTAAAAGTCTTAAGTCTTTAAAACCCAGTGTCTTTTTTAAAAGTCTAAAGTCTCTCTTAAATATCTAAGATCTCATAACTAACTGTTGGTTGCTGAAAAACAACAAAACAAGTTACATACTTTCTTACTCCAAGAGGAAAGAGTCAGGACACAGTCACAATCAAAGCAAAGCAAAACCAAAATTCAACAACGTAAAAGTTCCAAACGGCTTGTGCAGATCCAGTTCTCCTGTTCTACCAACCACAGCAAATACAGCTTCTCTCCACTCCACAACTGCCAGCTGTCCTTGGTGGTCATCCTACTGTACTGTCACCTCCAAAATGCTGGGGTCTACACTGGGCTGTGCTTTCACCCACAGCCTCTCCTAGGACCTCTTCAGGGCTAATCCTATTACATGACACCAAGCCTCAACTGTTCTCCACGAACCTGACAATCCTGGGTCTTCAACTGCAACTGAGGCTGCACTCACACCAAGCCTCACCTGGTCTCCAAAACTCCTTCATGCCTTTAAAATCAGTACTACCTAGATGACTCTTACACATTACCATGCTCAGCTGCCAGCATAACATGAAATCTTGGCCTCCTCTGAACAGCACAACATCTCTGTGCTGATCCTGGGGAAATAGTCCCAGAAGATTTCTCTTCAGTGATGCTGGTTTCTTCTTAATTACTGCTAACTTCTCACCTCCAGCAGACAAGCCTGGACTGTCCCGCCAAATTATTTTACTTCACTGGTGCTTACTACCACTACTGATTCTTTAGCCCCAGCTGACTAGACAGCTTGGCTAGTCTAGTCTTGGCTAGTCTAGTCTAGTCTTGACTAGACATTCTTAGTTCAAAATATCACACAAGTAGCCAGGCGGTGGTGGCGCACGCCTTTAATCCCAGCACTTGGGAGGCAGAGGCAGGTGGATTTCTGAGTTCGAGGCCAGCCTGGTCTACAGAGTGAGTTCCAGGACAGCCAGGGCTATACAGAGAAACCGTGTCTGGAAAAACCAAAAATAAATAAATAAATAAATAAATAAATAAATAAATAAATAATATCACACAAGTGGCCCTGACGGTCTTTGCTTCTCTGAAACTTCAGAGAGAAGAGGCCAGGCCTCACTCACCTACAGCTCGTTCAGCTTCCCTACTATCTAAGCACTCACAGTAGCCTATTAAGTTCTAAGCACTCAACGACTTCCCGAGTTCAAAATTCCAAAGTCCTTCCACAACCCTCTCAAAATCAACATGGTCAGGTCTGTCACAGCAGATGCCACAACCTGTAACTAGTTCTGTATTTAGTTTCCTATTTCTCTGATAAAACATCATGACCAAAAAGTAATCTAGAAAGGAAAGGCTTCATTTGGCTTAAAGGTTACAGTCCATCATGAGGGAAACCAGTGTAGGAACTAAAGCAGAAACCACAGGGGCTGCTTACTGGCTTGCTCAGCACATTTTTATATCCCTCAGGGCCACCTCAGGGGGGAAGGGGATTGTGCCCCCCCAGTTGGCTTGGCCCTCTATCAATTAGCAACCAATAAAATGCCCAACAAACACACCTGCAGACAATATGATGATAGCATGTCAAGTTGGCAAAAACTAACAAGCCAGGGCACTAGAAGTCTTTCATCTCTGCTCATTACATACATCTTTAAACTGTGATGTCGATTTCTCATGTGACCAATCTTATGCACCCAGTATCGGGTTTGAGGATCAGCAGGATTACTTCTAAAGGACATTAGGGAAAGCTATGGTCAAGGGAGAGCCCTTCTTGCTTTCTCGTGTTATTTCTCAAAGAAGCAACACATAGATGAAGTGCTTTAAGTCCCAAATCTGGTAGAAATTCAGTTTTGCACTTTTAAAATCTGATCCTCAAAGATGAACTGGGTCATAGTAGAAAAAAAAATTACATGTATTTTTACTCAAAGAAAATGCAAAATGAAGGGTCCGCTTACCTGGAGTATCTATAATGTTGATATTGATATCTTTCCACATGGTGTAGGTAGCTGCTGACTGAATAGTGATTCCTCTCTGTCTCTCTAGTTCCATGGAATCCATGACAGCACCAACTCCATCTTTACCTTTCACCTAAACATGACCACAGAAATTCACATTTTTCTGTCTTTCATCCCAAGAAAGAAATCTTGACTGAAATGGAACGAGAAAACAAAGTTATCATACACAACTGTGAGATAAGCCTAGTCCTATAATGTATCACTTCATAAAACTGTTGTTTCTGTCTCAGTCCTGTGACTGTTTGTCCTTGTTGGCAGCTGACAAGCATTTGGGACCACCATCTGTTTCTCCTGAACTGCTGGCTGCTGGCTTTGCAGAGTCTACAAACTAATGATATTCAGGCAGCAGACCTCTCCGCTCTGTTCCGCTCGGACTCAGAGGCACAGAATGGAGTGTTTAGCTTTTAAAGGATATGCTTTAGCCGATGCTCTTCACCTGAAGAACAGTTTGAACAACAGTTAAGTTACTCAGGGGATTGGCGGTATCTTTGTGTGTCAATAATTTTAAACAATGCTTTTCTGTTAGGTTTTTAGTAGAGCTTGTAATCAGTGCTGTAAATGAAAATTCCTGAAAGAAGCCATGTCTGGCTGTGAGTACGGAACTCCTGGAAGGAGTCTGCCTGCAGAGACTGCTGGACTGATCAGAATTTCCTACTGTGGAAAAACTGGAATCGTGCTACTTACCCTGTGCTGGGCCGTGCCTTGCCCTACTCTGTATCTGAAGTAACACCTCATGAGAATAAACTAAAACCTCTTAGAAGCTATTAACTTAGCAGGAAACTAGCGCCTGGCAATCCTAAAGCTAAGAATGTCATCCTGGACCTATAGAACAGTTCCCTGTCTCACTGTGCTCGCCTCTCCAGTGTACCCATCAATGCATTTTAAACTTGCCTTGATATCTGACTTGCTTTGTTCTACAAAATTAAAACATCATGAAACTGATTGCATGTTGGAACATGATTTTTGGGACAACCCAACTCTGTGTTTCTGAGCCAAAGTCACTCAAAATGGCTCCAGTTAGAAACTCTTTTATTTCCTTTACGATGAGAGCTGTGTTTTTTTTTGTTTTTTTTTTTTTTTTTCATCTACGGCACCTTTTAGATTCACTTTCCATTTAACATTTTAAACACAGATCCTTCATTAAAATTCTTAAGACTACTGTGACAGCTGTGTAAGGGTCTGTGATGCCATCTCAACATCTACTCAAGATACTCACAGTGATCACTTTAGATTATTCATGGTAACATCTCAAGCCAGCTTGACCTCTCCCCTTTGTTCATCTGACTTTGGCTAAGGAGCCTCTGTGACAGTGGTTCTCAACCTGTGGGTTGCAACCCCTCTGAGGTGGAACGACCCTTCACAAGGGTTGTCTAAGAGCATTGGAAAACACAGATATGTACATTATGTTTCAGTTATGAAGTAGCAACAAATATAATTCTATGGTTGGGGTCACCACAACATGAGGAATTGTATTAAATGGTCCTAGCATTAGGAAGTAGAGACCACTACCCCATGACCACTGTTTTCATCCTAAAACAAGGTTTTGTGAAGCTTATGAAACTATAACTACAGAACACTTGAAATCAAGTTCTGAATTGCTCTGGAATCAACCGCTAAGCACACACCTCGTGCATTGTGGCAATCCTGCCAGTGTAGTACAGCACACGTTCTGTTAACGTCGTCTTCCCAGAATCAATGTGAGCCGAGATTCCTATGTTTCGTATTTTTTCATTGGGAATTGGTCCTGACGAACACCACCGGCAGGTCTTCCAATTAGCCTGGAAAAACAGTTTTAAAAGCTCAGTTTAACACACCTATTATAAGAGATCATGGATGGCTCTGAGCAAAGATGTCCGCTCTGGGGACTCAACTCTTCCTCTGGAAGAGCAGGCATGGGGTGGTCAAAAGGACTATTTGAAGGACTCTGTTCTCACCCCTCCACTGTGTGGGTCCCAAGACTGATACTCAGGTTGTCATACATGACAACTACCCTTATGGCTGAGTCACGTGGCTAACTTTTAAATACACACTATCATAAAACTAGAACTATACCTCTCAATGACCACTTTAACAAGAAATACAAGTTTTAGACTGAATTCCTTAGGTTTCCTGTCTTCCCCTGTCCTGTAACTCACAATTAGCAAGGATATATAAGGACACACAAGTCTACCCAACTAGCAGCCTCAAGACAACCCCAAAATGTTTCCAGTTTCGTCTGCACGAAAACAATGAAGTGCCTTTTGGGGTGGTAGTTGTTCCTGTCAACTTTACAGTGGGGACTGGGAATGTATTTATTGAATCAAAACAAAACTGCATATCCAAACGCTTGGCCAACACTTCTGGGAAGAGGGAAACTGGGAACATGTCAAAGCAGACAGGTGACAAGTGCTTGGATGGTTAAACCACAGGGATATTTGGTAGCAAAACAAACGAGGGCTCCATGACAGGTAAGGGGCCACATCTACCAATGTCTACCCTGCTCTGAGTATCTCACTCCAAAAACTTACAAAGTTTAATCTATATACCTAACTGGGAAACATGACGGGAGAAAAGCACCGGGAAGTTGAATAGGACCCACTCATTCAGAGAGCATCCAACCATACCCAGTAGTAAGAGGAGCACTGGATAAAGAGTCAGAAATCCGGGGTTCGAGCCCCGGGGACACTAATTTTCATCTGACCTTCACGGGCACTTCTCTCTAAGGTAGATCATACCCATCAGAAGGCGGGGAACCCCAGCGCAGAGCTGCGAGTCGCAAGGCCAAGCTAGCGTGCGGACTCGGGAAGACGCTGCTCAAGACCCCGGGTAAGGAAGGGGTGTCGCCACCTGCCCGGCTCTGGAAAGCTCTCCGGTACCAGTACCTGCTTCCCCTGCCAGCCCAGGACAGCAGGGACCCGAGGGAGCGGCCCACGTCCCAGGGCTGCAGCGACCCGCAGCAGCCTCATGACGAGCCTGGGACAGCCACTTCCAGATCTCTTGCTCTGCTGTGCTCTGCTGTGCTCTGCTGTGCTGGGCCCCGGCAGCAGAGCGGGAAGTGCTCAAAGTCACGCCGGCTACCCGAGCCGCAGGAGCACTTCCGGAAGGAAGGTCAGGAGGAAGGCCAGAGGAAGGCAAAGGAAAGGCACCCCTGTCTGAGCTCGAGAGAGCGCGCGCCCTCTGCTGGTCAGGAGGAGAACGTGCCGTTTATGCAGAGGATTGTCACAGGGAGGTGTCATTACTACTGAGGCAGGTAGTCTGGTCCCTTTGTCTTTAAAGGAAAGAAAAAAAAATAAAAACCATCGCTATATATAAAAAAAAAAAATGTGCCGGGCATGGTGACACACGCCTCTAATAAGAACACCTCGGAGGCAGATCTCTTGTAAGCTCCAAGACAGCTTGGTCTACATTGAATTCCGGGCCAGTCAGAACTAGACAATGAGAACTTGTTTTAACAAAACGAAACAAAAGCAGCAAATTTTAAACACAGTTGTTTTACCTGCATGACAATGAGACAACGTTTATAACAATTTAAATTGAGTACACAAAATGTATTCATTAGTACAGCATCAGAGAATATCGGGGAAATGAGAGTAGATAGATGTTGAATTACAAATAAATTTTCTTCAAAACCTTCTTTATTGTCCGTCAGTAAGACCAGCTGTGCATCCTCCCATCCACAAAACCGCACCATGACATTTCCGTTTGGACATCTTACAGGCATCTGAAACTTTGACATATCCAAACAGGGCTTCTGATCTTCCCCAAACCTCCTCATACAGTCTCCATCTTAGGAAAAGAATCTCCGTTTTTCCAGTTGACCTAGCCAAAGATGCCAGTCACTTTGGCACCACTTGGTGATTCCTGTCATCTAAATCTCCCGGCATATGCAAACCGCCCACTTCCTTCCACCTGACTGGAAGGATCCTTTCAAGCCAGACCATGTTCCCTCTCTGCTGAAAATGGTGCTGTGGACCAATCGCTCTCTCTACTTTGGTGCTGTTAGGCTGGAACCCCTGTTCATCACACCGCACCCCACCCCTCAGCTACAAAACCCTATCTGCCCTCCTTCCCCCAACTCCTACTACACAGAAAAAACTCCCCCACCCCTCAGAGGGCACTACAGCCTTACAGGTCCTCAGTCCTCATCTACCCACCCAGAAGTACCTGCCTAGGAGCTCAGCTTTTTTACCTAATAAGGACATAATCCCAGCGCCTAGCTCATGCGTCATCACCACTCGATCCAAAACCATAAAACCTCCTTATGTTAGCCTGGGCGAATGACTTTACTGACCTCCACCGTGAGACTGGAGAACTCACCAGACTGCTGTCTTTCCATAAACCCGCCTTTCTGTTGTGTTTTATACACAGGTGGCAGTGATGCAGGAGGGAGCGTCTAAGAGGGCCCATGGAGAAGCGTTCCCCTGAGGAATCAGCTTAGTATAAAAGGAAGTTTATTGGGGGAAGGGAAAGGGGACCTGGAAAAGGCGTACAGCCAGAAAAAGTGGGGGACAGAGAAGGATAAAAAGAAAAAGGATAGAGGAAGGGAGAAAGTGCGGCTGGCCTAGCATCCACTCAGGTGATGGCGTGGGCTATGGATGCAGTCAAACTCCCTGGTTTGGCTTTCCACCTCCCCAAGAGTCCACGCCCAGCAGAGGAGCAGCCGCTGCTGACAGACTGAAAGGATATTTGGTTTTACCCTAGGTATCTAGACACCACTCTGGGGGTGGGAAGGCCAAGTCTGAAATATGGGAAGGCCAGAGCTGGTTGGGGACTTTTCCTGCGAAGAGGCCGGGGCCATGGGATTCTCAGACTCTTGTAAGTTCAGGTGCTACTGGGAGTCAAGGAAGAGCAGAGAACAGAGTTGGGGGTCGCGGGCTGGGGACAGTGTCTAGTGGGGTGGGAACTCCGGCTTGTTCCATGGGTGATTGTCCTTCGCTTGGCAGAAGCAGGCTTGGTGGTGGTTGTGGTTGGGAGCCCAGAGAGGCCTTCTACAGAATAATAAAGCTCTGACTCTTTAGACAAAGGCCTTCCCCAGGTTTCTCATGGCTGATCTTGGTAACAGACAGTTAATGGTTCTAAACAGTTTATTGTCGTGGCAGAAAATGGACGGGTAAAACCATACCCCACTTCTCAGGATGGGCGTAAGATTAAATACCTTTTGCATGGAGGAATGTCTGGGAAGGGAAGCTTCTTGGCTAAGCTCTCTGGCCTCTAGGTACCTCATTAGCCTGGAGAACTCTGCTTTGAGCCTATATGACCATAGGACACGTTTCTTTTATGTGAGAATCATGGCAAGTGTTCCAAGTCAGGTTTCGGCAGGGAGTTGGGAGTTGCCTAAGCCTCAGGTGTGTGCCCACTGAGTCACAGGGTCTCCACCTGCTCTACCTTACTGAACTTTCTGGCATGGTTTTATGTCCCACACAGTCATTTACTGAAAGGACATGGCAAGCAAATGACTCCTAATGACATTCTGCTATAATCAAAAAACTGTGCTTCCATCAGCAGAGCAGCTTCTTCCTGCAGCAGAGGGGAATAGAGAGACCCACAGACGTTATGTACCAGGTCCTTTGTATACATGTTATGGCTTCCAGTTTAATGATCTTATGGGTTTCTGAATGTGGAAATGAGTAGGTCTCTGGTTCTTGTGCCTTCTCTTGGGCTCTTTTCCTTCTGTTTGGTCCAATTCTGATGTGTGTTTCTTATTTTATCTTGTACATTATTTTATTATATTTTATTATTATCCCTTAGAAGCCTGTCTATTTTCTATTGAAAGACAGGAGAAGTAGATTCAGGTGGGAAGGGAGGTGGGGAGGAACTGGGAATAGAGGGAGGAGAAACTAATCAGGATATATTATTATATGAGAAAAGTATTTTCAATAAAAGTAGGGAAAATCTAGCTACTCCATATGAATTGATGGTAATGGAATCAAACAAGCAAAGAGATAACAAAAGCTAAAAAGTTATTAAATACTCCTAACTTGAAATATTTCATGGAGTACAAGGCACATAGACAGATGGGAAACACTATATAGTTAAAAAAAATGTAGGTTTTAGCTGGTTAAAATGTACTCTCCTCATTGGCCAAGGACAAGGAAGTGGGCTTTAGGCAGGATTCTGCCATTAAGCTAGAACAAAGAAGTACTTTCAGGCAGGAATCTAAACTTTAGGCTAGAACAAAGAATTTCAGGCAGGAATCTTAAATCTTGGGCTAGGACAGGGAAGTAGGTGTAGATATTTTGGTCATCTTGATAAACAGCCCTTAGAAACAGTAATCATGGGAGTGTTCATGGAACTTTATTGCCTTGCTTATTCTTTGACTATTTGTGTTTATTGTCTTGCTTGTTAATTGAGTATTTGCATCTATTGTACTGCTAGTTCCTCATCCTAGAGCTGACCTTAATACTTGCATGTAATTAAAATGGTATAAAAGCAAAAAGGAGGAGGGGGGATGGGATGGGGGTTTCTAGGGAGGGAAAATGGGGAAAGAGGATGACATCTGAAATCTAAAATACTCCCCCCCAGAAAAAGAAAAAAATGTACTCTCATCTAATAATACCTTTATTTTTAGGCTATTGTTACTGCTTCTTTTAACGTTTGGTTTAATAGTCCTATTAGATGTCACAAATATATAGGATATAGAAGACAGGGGGAAAATCAGACTCAGATCACCATGGCTGGACTTGATGTGATCCAGGGATTTCTTCTTTAGTGGCTTTATCAATTCTTTGTCCTTACTCTCACTGGTTTCTTTATAAAAACTACAGAGAATGAGCCTTCCCGGTGCCATGGGACACAAAATGCAGTATCTTGCTGTTTAGTAGGTTCTAAGGAAAAAAAAAAGCTCTTGTGTTAAAGATACAAGTCTAGGGCGGTGGTGGCGCACACCTTTAATCCCAGCACTTGGGAGGCAGAGGCAGGCGGATTTCTGAGTTCGAGGCCAGCCTGGTCTACAGAGTGAGTTCCAGGACAGCCAGGACTATACAGAGAAACCCTGTTAGAAAAAAACAAAAACAAACAAACAAACAAACAAAAGATACAAGTCTATTACAACTTGCATGATTGTGTTGCAGGTCTGGAGCCAAATAGCCCTTCATTACCTACCTTTGTGGTTTATGTATTTATAGTTTGAGTTTCATACATGTACATTGTGAGTGTAAATTCTCAGAAATTGGTATCAAATTTGGAGTTGGGGGGGTGTCATGACCAGGTCCCAAAGAAACCTGGGGCAAGTCTCACTTAAAACCTGTCTTCTTCCAGTACTTTTCACCTTGCCCCCACCCTAAACCTCTCCATTTCAGGGGCTGGGACTTGCTTCCCTCCCTCAGCTTCTGATTTCTATATAACTCAGCTATTTTGACTCTCTAGTTTTCTCTTGGCCTCTTAGTTCCTGGATGGCTTGCTCTTGGCCTTTTCTCTTCTCTCCCTCTCATTCTTCCACTCTCCTCCAATGGCCTGGTCTATTTTGCTAGCCATGTTCAGTCTGGACCCTTCCAGATGTCTCTGGCTATGCTCTCCCTCATACTGACAATTAAAACTCTTCTCAACTATACCTAGGAGTGGTCATGTCCTAAAGTCCTCACAAACTTTGTCCCAAGCCAGGCCCAGTCATCTGTCCTCAACAAGCTGATAAGAGCCCAATTAAATGTGAAAAGCAAGGGAAAAAATTTTTATTCAACATGGCCACATTGGGAGGAGGAACAGAGAAGCCCAGTGTCTTAGGATTTTAATGTTGTGAACAGAGACACTATGACCAAGGCAACTCTTATAAAGGACATTTAATTGGGGCTGACTTAGAGGTTCAGCCCATTATCATCAAGGCAGAAGCATGGCAGCTTCTAGGCAGGCATGGGGCTGGAGGAACTGAGAGTTCTACCTCTTCATCCAAAGGCAGACAGGAGAAGACTGACTCCCAAGTAATTAGGAAGAGGGTCTCATTGCCCACTCCCACAGTGACACACTTCTTCCAACAAGGCCACACCGACTCCAACAAGGCCACCATCTGATAGAGCCAACCCCTGTGCCAAGCATATTCAAATCACCACATCAAGTGAACCCCCCAAGTTCATGTTCATGGTACTGAAGTGAGGTTGAAGTTTAAATAGAGCACTAAGGATATGCGCATCTCAACAGTCCTGGTTAAGGTGTGGTCCTGCCAACAACTGACCCGTCCTCTGTCCTCCCAGTTTCATTCTCACCCTATAAGGTGGTTTGATAAGTTGTGAGAATGGTATGAAGTCTCTTTGTGGAAGAAGTCCCCTGTGAATAGCACCTTTTCCTTCTGCCAGCATTAAGAATCCTAGGACAATTCTCATTTCTTTAGAATCCATTGTTTCAATAGTCTGGTAGATCATGAGGCACAAGGGTCTTTTCAGAATATCTTCACTTAAGCCTGGTTTAAAAAGCACACTTTAAACTGAACCTTTTGTAAGGGTGACTAATAAGAACTTATGTCTGTGAAGGGTCCAGAGTCTAATCACAACTTATCCTGGGCTACCTCTACCCCTCGAATAGCTACTCCATGACTGACTCTGACATACCATCTTTATGGCTATCTGGTGAAACAGTTTGTAATATATAAATTTAAGAGACCACTAATTTCCATAAACCAAAGGCGAAGAATGCCAGCAGACAGCATCTGAGGCCTAACATAGCGATTTCTCTCTTTCTTGCTATAACTGACCTACCGAGTATTTCTACTAATATATTTGAAACGTCTTATGATAATGAGGATCTTTGTTCTGTTACTATAAATCTACATGAAACTATCACCATGTTAAAATATAGTATTGGAGGAAACTTTAATCTGTGTTCCCAAATCTCTTATTTGGCTCCAGAATAAATCTTCCCATCACTTTTGAGATTTCTTTTTGCATCACCAATTATATTGTGATCAAATTAACCCCCCACCAGCAGCCAAACATCAGACTGAGCACAAGGACCCCAGTGGAGGAGTCAGGGGAGGGACTGATGGAGCTGAAGGAGATTGCAACCCCATAGGAAGAACACAACCAACCAGATCCCCCACCCCCAGTTCCAAGGGACTAAAGCACCAACCAAAGAGTATACATGGAGGGACCCATGGCTCCAGTGTAGGGGAATGCTAGAGTGGCGAGGTGGGAGTGGGTGGATGAGCACCCTCGTGGAGGGAGTGGGAGGGAGTGGAGTGAGGGGTTTGCAGAGGAAAAACCAGGAAGGAGGACAACATTTGAAATGTAAATAAGCAATAAAAATTAGGTTAATCTAAATTAACCCCCTTACCATCTCCAGTCCCTCTCCTTATCTTCTAGATGCCCTTCTTTTTCCATAGCTTCCTCACTTTGCTTTCATACTTCTCCCATTTTTGTCACCATTAAAAATCTTTTCAGCCAGGCAGTGGTGGCACACGCCTTTGATCCCAGCACTTGGGAGGCAGAGACAGGTGGATTTCTAAGTTCGAGGCCAGCCTGGTCTACAGAGTGAGTTCCAGGACAGCCAGGGCTATACAAAGAAACCCTGAAAAAAAAAAAAAAAAGAAAAAAAAAGAAAGGAAAGGAAGAAAGAAAGACAGGCAGAAAGACATGAGGCTTATAGAATGATAGCTTTTTTTTTTTAAGATTTATTTATTTATTTTATTTATGAGTATAGTACACTGTAGCTGTCTTCAGACACACCAGAAGAGGTCATCCAATCTCATTACAGATGGTTTTGAGCCACCATGTGGTTGCTGGGTTTTGAACTCAGGACCTCTGGAAGAACAGTCAGTGCTCTTAACCACTGAGCCATCTCTCCAGCCCGGAATGATAGCTTTTTTTGATGATTTTTTTTTCCTTGATAAAAATTATGAAAGAACTAAGTTCTCTGTATTCTTATAAACTTCAGCCCCAACTTCTATTAAGATGGGTTAGTTCCTGAATTCCAGAGTAAAAAGGCTAACTGAATTCTTAAATGGTATAACTAAAAGAGGAGCAACTGACTTATTACCACCTTGCTCAGAAAGACACATCTAATGAATTTTGAGAAAAACCAATTACTCTAGTTTTCTTTTTTTTTGTTGTTTTTGTTTGCTCTTTGTTTTTTCGGGACAGGGTTTCTCTGTGTAGCCCTGGCTGTCCTGGAACTCACTCTGTAGACCAGGCTAGCCTCGAACTCTCGAACTCAGAGATTCGCCTGCCTCTGCCTCCCAAGTGCTGGGATTAAAGTCGTGCGCCACCACCGCCCGGCTTACTCTAGTTTTCAAAACAGAAAATGTACCTTTTCAGTTTACAAGGAGTCTCTCATTAAGCATTGACAAGACAATAATATGCAACATTAAAAACTTAAAGAGAAAGATTATATAAATTATCATATGAGTGTGATATAGGAAAACCCTATACAATATGCAGAAATTATAATGAAATTCATGTACATTAGCAATTTAACATATTTCTTGAAGAGAAACTGATTATTCTTGTTCTTTTTCAAAGTAATAATTTCTTATAAAATACTAATAGTGCATATGTATATATGTATAAATAATTTATTTTTGAGATAGGGTCTTTTACTCTATAGTCCAAGACCTCAAAGTCCAAGACCACAATTCTCCTGTCTCACCCTCTAGGATTTCTGGATTAGAGGTCTGAGCTATTATGCCTCAACCTCTAATATAGCTTTACTATTTTAAGGTTTTAAGCTAGCTAATTATATAACACATTATGAAATTTGAGAAATACTACACTTTGATTCACACCACTCGACTGTGGTGTTAGCAGACACTGGATGTATTTTATTTTAATATTTTACTTTTGTGTACTGATCTAAGTAACAGAACCAGTTCAGAACTGTTTGGGATTGGTTCTAATGCTTTGTCTTAATTCTGCTCCTAAAATCACACAGGAATCTGCATGTCCAAACATCCAAATATGAGGAAGAAGGAATTCTGCCATGAGAGGGGCGTAGGATGAACAAGGCCATGTTGGGGAAGCAGAGATCAGAATTAAGAGTCAGGAAACCAGGCCCCAGGGGCCACTCCCCTGGGGAGGGGCCTTCGATAGCAGAGATAGATTTAGAAAATGTAAACTCAGGAATACCAGAGGGTAGTGTATGGTAGCCAAAGGGAGGTTTAGACATGCCCAGCCATTGAACTAGTAAGGCATATTAAAAATAATGCTATGTATGTGTGTGTCTCTGTCTATGTGAATTCAGAGCTCTTTGGGCAGAAGCAGCAAGCTCAGAGTGGTTTAACAATTCACTGGTATACAGAACCATCACCATGGTAAGTATGCAAGAGTTTATGGATTACATTTTACATTAGGATATATATATATATATATATATATATATATATATATATATATATATCCTATTATTAAAATATATACTATATTTGAGAGTTTTATTTATATATTGTGAAATCAGCATATGTGTTTTAAAGTTAGTACATCTTGAAGAGTTTTATATAGACAGTTAATCAATTTAACCATATTATTGAACATCAAAATTTTATTCCTAAAGTATGAACAATGTAAAGCTAAAACTTACAAGAACATTCACATTCAGAAGAAAGTTGCAAAGTACAGCACTGATTTAACAGGAGATTGGTCTTTTGTGTATTACTGAGCACCATGCCATGACTTACTTTGTTAAAATAACCAACTAAACAAATGAAATGCACGGCTATTTATTTTTTGGTGATTTTCACAGGTGATCCTTTGACATTGAGTTTGTCCACAAAAATGTTTGATTTTCTTCCACTCTCAATGGCTGAATTTCGATGAATTTTCTCTCTAAGAAATATACATATAAATATTAATACCATTTAAAAATAGTCAATGATTTATGTCACTGCAAATAAGTTAAAAGCCACTGTAATTTAGAATATCTTTAAAGTTCCTTAATAACTCTGGACAACTACTTTATTGAACATATAAGAAACTAGGAGCTATTACCTAAGAACTACCCGAATCACTTGCAGCTTAAAGAGTGTTATTAAAAATGGTAGCCATAGCCGGGCAGTGGTGGCACATGCCTTTAATCCCAGCACTTGGGAGGCAGAGGCAGGCGGATATCTGAGTTCGAGGCCAGCCTGGTCTACAGAGTTCCAGGACAGCCAGGGCTACACAGAGAAACCCTGTCTCGAAAAAACAACAACATCAAAAACAAAAAACAACAACAACAACAACAAAAAAAAACAAAAGGTAGCCGTAAGTAATATTTATACTTAATTCAGCTCCTGAGTTGTGCCACTCAAGTGTCAAAGGGACTCAGTAGTCACACATATCTGACAGTTAACATGTTGGCCAGCACACTTCCTCACGTGGAAATTCACTTCTGAAAATTCTACTGGAGAGAACTACTAAGAGAAAAATGCAGCTGCTAGGGCCATAGATTTACAGAACATCTGAAATGAACAGACTTTCTCTAACTGGGACCTAGATTTTGTGTTTAAACTTTTAACAATGTAAGACAAATATTAACCAAAAAGATAGAGGCAAGTTTTAAAGTCTTTTTATAGAAAGTATTCAGGCTCTAAATTCCTAAACAAGTACTTTCAAAGAAACTATGCCAGCTCATGGGATTTTATACAAGGCTTCTGAATTACTTTGATTTGTCCAGCACTGGTTCCATGAGGCCTTCTCCAACCCTAGACTCTCTGGATTTCTGTTTCAAGAGTTATCCTGTTTCAAGAAACTTGAAGTTTCCCTCAAGAATTTGGGAGTCAGGTCATAGCTCCCAAGAATTAACTTCAGAATATGTACTAAATGTATAAAAGCTATAAATTTTAAGAACTATACTTAATCAGTAAAAAATAGATATAACAATCGTTTTTTTATTTTTGGTTTTTTGAGACAGGGTTTCTCGAAAACTCTGGCTGTCCTGGAACTCATTCTGTAGACCAGGCTGGCCTTGAACTCAGAAATCCGCCTGCCTCTGCCTCCCAAGTGCTGGGGTTAAAGGCGTGCACCACCACTGCCCAGCTTAGATAACAATCCTAAGGAAACTTTATATACTGTGATTATATTATAAAACAGATCCTAATGTAAATGCTCAAAGTCATTCATCTCACACAAGGTTTAGATATTTATATAGATAGTGTAAGCGAAAAGGTTTTGTATTTTTAAAACTTAACTTTCTTACCAAGTCAAAATTTAGCATTTAATTATAAATGAATTTAAAATGCTTTCATAGTATGTAATAGTATTGTGTATCAAACTTCAGAAACAAATTTTAATTTGTATGGACTATTTAGATTCAATATAAAGTTCCTTTTTCATAAAAGATACATCTTGGATATTCTTAAGAACTTGTAAAGAGGTAAACATACTCTTTCATTGTGTTTGTGTATGAGGATGAGAGTACATATGTACGGGTAGGTTCATGTTGGTGTGTATGTGCACTTAGATAGGTCATTTTTGGTTACCATTGTTTAGGCTTTGACTTACAAGGTAAGCTAGGTATCTGTCTGTCTCTTCTTCCTGTGTTGGGATTACAGCTGCATGCTACTATGTCAGGCTACTTTCTCTTTCTAATGTCCGTTTTGAGTATTACACATTGATTACATGGCAAAACCTTTACTGAATGAGCTATCTCTACAACCTAATCTACATAACTTGTAAATCTCTTTAAAAGCACTGTTTTTAGAAATAGTCTTTACCTTCTTTTGAGTTCACGAGACCCTGGATGCTCGTGACCCACGCTTCGCATTCCAGTGTTTCCTGATCGTCCAATAGGCTTGTACTTCAGAACTTCATTTTGCCACTCATCATCAAAAGCATGAGCATCACCTGTATTAAATATCGAAATAAGCAGAACAAGTACTTAAGGTTTCTTCCGTCAGTACTGCCGTGGGCCACTACACACTTCATGTAGCCTAGCCTTTCAACAAAGGCAGAAGCTTCTGCAATATTTCCCTCCTATTCACTGTATGGTTACTGATAATATGGTTTTTCATTTACCTTCTTGATTATCCTATTATTCTACATGGACTAGATGATTCCATATACTCATTCATGAAATCTTTTGAATCACCTCATAACGGCCATGATGTTTTGAATCATTTTACAATGACTATAATGTTCCCTACGTTCTTAGACACTCCTTCAGTAGCTTGCATTTCTATTCAGTGCTTTATGTTCCTAATGACTTCTTAAGCTTGGTGTCAATTTCCTAACACTCAATTTATGATGTCATGAACTAGGTAAACTAACTTCCATAAAAACAACACATAAATGCCTTTTAGATTATCTTTATAAAAATATCTTAAACTTGATTTTTCCAACATAAATTACAAAATACTCAATGTACATATCTACATAGATATATATGTATATAACTTATTTTTAAAATTATATGTATATGTGTGGATAAGCACATGTAAGTGCTGGTGTCCTTGGAGGCCAGGGGCATCTCTCTGGTGCCGTAGTTAAAAGTACTTGTGAGCCACCTGATGATGCATCCCACACAGGATGGCCCTGAAACCCTGACTAGGGCCTGCAAGGGAATAAAGAAATGACAAATAGACTCACATACAGAAAAGTTGGGGTCAGATGGAGTGTAAGCACTCTGTTGGAGTAGCACCAACTACCCCCAAACAAGAACCTAGAACCTCACTGCTTTTACTGAGCAGCACAGTGGGAGGGGTTAGCTAGTATCCACAAGAGGTTGTCTGTAGACAAGTAGTCTAACTCTATAAAAACATCCAGGAGGAGGGGGCTGATGTTGCTAGCTTCTGTACACACTGTAAGCATTCACACTTGAACTTGAGAAAGAAGACTTTGCCAATGTCCTCTGCTCACAACATCCTGATAGTGGGAATCGAACTAGGGTCTTCAGTAAGAGTAGCATGTAGTCTTAATGACTAACCTAGAGCTCTAGGCGACTCAGTACATATTTTAATAAGACCACAATGTTTAAAATAAAGAAAGCTCAAATTTGGCTTTCCTCTTATGGCATAAGAATACCTTATTATAGTTATTATTTCTATGTGTATGTTTGTGTATGTGTTTTGGCTTGTACACTCCGCAGCCATGGAAGTTAAACAACTTCAAAGAGTAGGTAGGTTCTCTTCTTTACCATGTAGGACCTTGAGGGTTAAACTTGAGCTGTTATGTTTGGTAATAAGTGCCACATAACCAGGAGTAATTTTTATCTAATTCAAATATAGTTTCTTTTTCTGAATGATGCATTAATTTAAGCTCTTTACTATGATAAAACATTATTCAAAGTACTTTCTCAAAAAAAAAGTACTTTCTCAAAATTTAAGATAAATGTACTGACATTTCAATGATTTAATTTTGATTAAAGCATAAAAGCTTGATTAATGTTTAGACAAAATGAATACTGTCAATAATGTTAGTGATTTTAACATAATTTAAAATATGAGAAAAGTTAGACACTAACTTAAATGCATTGAAGAATATAAAAACCTAGAAAACAGAGATTTGCTTAGTATTATGTATGTTATCTTATGTATACTAGAAATTAAAATTATCTGTACAAACTGTAGAATAGCAAAATAATCAAGTTGAAAAGATGTTTATACATGCATAAAACTATTAAAAAGAAATTCATCAAAATTAGAGTGGTTCTTTGGAATTGAAGTTATGATTTATTTTTATTTGTTCCTTTAAACTTTTTAAGTATGCTTCTTGACAATCAAAAATTAAAAAGCACATTTTGCCTACTGATATTACTAAAACCCTCAAAATCTTTAATTTTATCATCTTATGAGAAAACTGATTGACATCTCATATTAACAAATTATAATTTGTTGTAAAATGTGTATTAGATGATAGAACCACAATTTATAACTTTGACAAAAATTTTTCTTCACATTTTTTTAAGCTATCTTAATTAAAATTCATGAAGTTCTAGAAATGTAGCTACTATTGTAACTTTTGACAGTTTTTGTGTTTGCAGTGACTCACTTTCATTCATATTGATGAACTCTTGGTTGACCTCTTCATCTCCCGTCTTGCTGTTCTTTGACTTTCTAATGACATGAGCTCGGTCATGGATATGATGACCAACAGCCATTCTTTCTAATCCGCTGTCAGAATCTCTCATTGCTTTTCTGGTTTCTTTTACCTTTAAAAATACAGTGAAAGTTATTTAGTTATTTAGTTAACTATATCAGAATGGACTCCATTTCATATTCGTCAGGTCTGTTTATGAAGCAAAGCTGTGGATTTCCTGCACCAATGTCCATTATTTTGTATAATAAAATGAGTAACTATATTCAGTGCTATTATCGATCTGGTTTTGTAATAAAATCACTAACATTTCTTCAACCATTTATATTTTAGCCTTTTCCAAGTCACAATGAAATATTAAAACAATATTATCAAACTTTGTTACATAAATAAATTATAAAAATAAGAATAAGTTATATAAACTCTTCAACATTGTCTTTGCAATGTAATGGATAGAAGGTAATAAGTGTAACTACTTACTCATCGCTTGTGTTGAAAGGCTTGAGCCCCGTGACTCCTACCTACCAACTTCACAGAAGTATTACTAGAATGTTTATGCTAACCAAATATTACTAATATGTTTTTATGTTTGACATCAATAGTTACAGTTAGCTTACTTTAAGACTTCACTATGTTCATCAAACTAAAATGGCAACGAATTTGCTAAACAATGCAAAGAGATCACTAATAGGTATATTTGTATGTCAGAATTGAAATTCTAAATTACTTTATAGTTATTTTTCAGTGATTCTAGAATCTTACTGTAACCTACAAGGTAATGAAATTTCATATCAGTTTGTAGAAGCCAAGAACTTTCATTACTACGGGTCAGTATTTAAAAATTTGTTTTTTCTCCCTGTCACTTAATTCCCAGAAATAACTGAGACTAATTATTTATTAATAAATGTCTAGGCCATAAACTTCAGCTGGTTCTCTGATTTGCTCTTAAAGTATTATCCCTTTTTTCTCTAACTCTGGTTTAGCTACATGGATGGTTTCCTTTCCTTGACTCCTTACGTCCATCTCCTCGGAGTTCTTGGGGCAAATCTCCCCTTTTCCATAGTGATGAGCATCCTATCACCTTGCCTCCCTCCTGTCCCTGCCACTGTTAGACAACATATTTTTTCCATAACTTACCAAAACACTAAGAATATTTAAAACTCTTCTATGCCAGGCATGATAGTTCATACCAGCAATTTCAGACTTATGAGACTGAAGCACGATTCGGGGTGGTTTGAGGATAGCTGAGACTACCCAGTAAGACTTCACCTAGAAAAATAATAAAAACTTACTCCTCCTGGAGCCCTACGGGTTTGAGTTGAGGCCTGGAAAACCTTTGGTGGTTCATCTCCTACTTTGGAATAGGTCATAACAGAGGAAGAACAAAATGAATGCCCATTTGGATCCATTGAAAGTTGGCCCTAGAGACAAAGGAAGTTGTAAATTAAGATTCTAGTCAAATAAGAAGATTGAATGCCAAGAAGCAACAATATTAGCTATACAGTTAATCCAAATGGAAACTGGTGTCCAATTTACTTCCATTTTTACTGCTAATTTCTACTTCTCCTGTAAAGAATAACAAGTGATTCACATCATCTGAGTTTTGTGTGGCTTATATTTAAATAAAGATACTAGAATCCCTAGGCAAAGGTTATTTCTTGTACAGCCTTGCCAACCAAGATTAAGTGAATTAGGTATGTACCAGGAACTTTCATACTTTCTTTGGGTATCAGATTGATACAAAACCCACCACTAATGCCCTAGATTTTGGCATTGTTAAATGATCCATAGAATTCTAACAGATATTGGAACGAAATAGGTCACCTTCAGATCAAACCAAATTACTTGTTTTATCCTATTAGAAGAATGACTGTAGAAGTATTAGCATTTGTTTAAAATGTTTAGAGTATATGGATCTAATATAGCATACAAACCATTTCTGTTTTCAGAGAGTTTTTAATATTAAAGCTCAGTTGCTAGCATCCAATGAGTTTTTGAAGTAAAGAGGTAATAATAAAACATGAAAATTTATAGAAAATGTTCATTTACAACAGACTCAGAAGAACATATTGAGGTTGTAATTTTTTAATTGTATAAGTTAATTAATATAACTTCAGATTATAGGGTGTAAAATAAGTGAGATATAAGATATTATATTGATAAGAAAATATCAGCAAGCTGATATTATAATATCCTGATGTAAAATAATCACTTAAACATTTGTTTCAGGTACAAAATACATAAGTATCGCATGTGTTAATCATGTAATGCTTTTTTGCTTTTTAAACTACGGTTAAAGATATTGAAAGTGAGGCTGGAGAGATGGTTCAGCGAGCAGACTGCTCTTCCAGAGGTCCTGAGTTCAATTTCCAGCAACCACATGGTGGCTCACAACCATCTGTAACAGGATCCAATGCTCTCTCTTCTGTTGTGTCTGAAGACAGCAACAGTGTACTCATATAAAAATAAATAAATATTTTTTTAAAAAAAGATGTTTGAAAGTTACTATAACATAGGCTATCAATAACTAAAAACAATGTTCTCATCAGTTTAATTTTAGTACTTACAAAGTTTCTTTGTAATTCCTGTATACCACTTCGCATATTTACCATCATCCGATCCATTGTCTGAAAAGGGTTGATATCTGCATGCTACAGGATATTAGGAGGTATATTAATTACAAAGAGGTAAATACGTCTTCCCAAAACAGATGAAAATATTTCCCAACTTACTGTAATATAACCATGCAGTAATCAACTAGGGAAAAACAATTTAAGGACTGTACAATAAGAGTAATTTGTTAAAAAAAGAAGCATACACAAAATCTCAAACAGCCAATGTAAATTAGAGAATTACACTGCATACACATATATACAAATTATATACCTATGTATACATACTATACGTAAACACATGCTTTGTGCATATAACTATCATATATATTATTTCTCAGCTTTCTTAAACCAGAGTTCTTCCTTTTCCTTCAAGCTTCCTTCTTATCTTCTTACTAATCCTTATGATTTCAAAAGTCTTCTCTAGGGAGAGATGACTCAGACAGCACTGCCCTTGCACAGGACCTGAGTTCAACTCCCAGAAGCCAAGCAGCTCTCTAATTCCTGTAACTCTAACTCCTGCTCCAAGTATCTGACATTCTCTCTTTTTGCCCTGTGGCTACTGAATTCATGTGTACAACACCCCACCACCACCGACATAAATACATAATTTTTTAAAAAGTCACCTCTGATTGATCTTCACCATTACACTCAAAAGTTTTTCGGGTTGTGGGTTTGTATGTTTATATGTATCACAGTGGGAATTTCCTCATTAATAGCTTTGTGATATTCTGTTTTTTGTCACTTGTTCCTCAGGAAGGAACAATGTTACATCTCAAACTTAGAAACACTGATAACTCAGATTCAGTGCAAAAAAAAAAAAAAAAAAAAAAAAGAAAAGAAGCTTTTCATGAGAATATAAGTACAAATATTCTAAATTCACTGTATTCTAATCTTTGGATTACTCTTCGGGGTTAGAAACTAGAAAGGCAGATGGTAGTCAGAACGTTGACAAGATCTGCTCGAGAACAGCTATGCTTGTGTAAGAAGAAAGAAAAACCAAGAATTTCTTGGCAACAAAGTCAGAACAGTTTTCCAAATATTGTGTGTTGCCTGTCACCTGGTAGAGTCATCACGGGCATGTGGAAGTCTAGCTTTCAAATAGAGTTAGAGTCTCTCTGAAAATCAAGTGAATGTCCCCTCAACATTTATTTTTCCATTTTTGGAGGTTGATAGTATACATTTTGATTGATTTACTGTAACCGTCTTGATAGAAATGAAAATATTCTTTAAAAAAGGTATTTGTGCTTCTCTTTGGCTACTGAAATAATCATCAAGAAATTGGGTTTTCGCCGAGTGGTTGGTGGCGCACGCCTTTAATCCCAGCACTTGGGAGGCAGAGGCATGCGGATTTCTGAGTTTGAGGCCAGCCTGGTCTACAGAGTGAGTTCCAAGACAGTCAGGGCTATACAGAGAAACCCTGTCTCAAAAATCCAAAAACAACAACAACAACAAAGAAAAAAAACAAAACAAACAAAAAAAAACCAAAAACAAACAAAAAAAAAACACCCCAAGAAATTGGATTTTCCTCATGGTGAGAAAATAAAAATGCTGAAACCTGGTACTGGCCAGTGGTGAAATGTGTCTCCCAGAAAAAGATATCATATAATCATAACAGCTTGTCGGATTACTTGGCAGGAGGGGCTGGAGCTGATGGGACCACATGTTGACTAGGACTGCCTACTTATAAATATATCTTCCCTCTATTTCCACCCAAATCCCACAAACTGACCCTGAAGATGGAGTTGTGAAGGTCTATGGACCTCTTAGTTCTTCCCAATGTAAGGACATCAAATACATCTTGTCTTTTTCAGCTTTTCATTTGTCTGTTTAATGGCCCACTGAGGATCAATGGGTAAGTCTGGCTTGTTAATACTGCCAGGCCCAAGCTCTGACCCTAACAACTCTGATAACTACTTTAGAAAACCTATGTCTAAGCACTCAGGTACATGTAACAGAAGTTTCTAGTACAAAGCCTACAAGCCATTATGGGAGTTAGTGACATGCACGCAAACTCACTCTGCTTGAGTTAATGAAAGTATCTGTTAAAAAATAAAGCTAAAGTAATTCTCATGACACGAACCATTCCACCAAACCTCTCAAAAGGCACAAGAGAAAAACTTGTTGCCTAAAAAAAATAAAATAAATTTTGTTTTACTTATTATATGGGAATAGCTAAAATACAAAAATGCACTGTAGCTCAGACGTACCACTGTTACAGAACTTTTTAATAAAAAATACTCAATGTTTACTTTTAAAATTATCTGCTTATTGCTCACTGTAGCAACTGCCTGCCCAGAAAATAAAGAAGCCATAGTACTACTAAAAATATGACTGTTCTAATAAGGAAATTGAAAGAAAAAGTCTTTGCTATATAGACCATGACAAACATTTCATAACTAATTAAAACAAAGTATAATGACTAGGATTAAAGCACTTTCTATTGTCATTACATTTTGTAAAGATCCACTACTCTTCCCATAACGAATTAAAATAAATATATTCAATTAATTATTATCATTACCAAATAAGTAGCTATTGTTTGGTTTCAACCAGGGACCAGGGACTGAGGTACATATTTTACATATCAAAGCAGGCCTGGCTTCCAGGTTCTCCCAGCATCCCTCAGTCTCTACCTGGCATACCCTGCCCCCAGCATTGAACTTTCCAGCCCAGGGGCTGAGGTGCCCTTCCTCCTCAATCCCCCAGGCTCTTCCCTATATAAATCCAGACAATTTGGTCTCGCTCCTCTTCTCTCTGGCGCTGCAATCTCTCTCTTTCCTCTTCCTCCCCATGGCGATTCTCCTAGCCTCACTCCTTGGAGCCAGTGAATCTGCCTGAGAGCAGCGCCCCAATAAACCTGCCTTTAATATAATACAATACAATGTAGCTTGAATTGGCTCATTTTACCAGTGGACAAATAACCTATTAGATGGTGTTGAAACCCAGGTGGAGGCGAGTCCCCAGCTCGATGGCCGTGGACTTTCCTGGCCACAGGGAAACCACTTCTCTCCCTCTATCCTTGTGTGCTGGATACATTTCTTAGGACTTCATAAGTACCCATCCCCAGCCAGCCTATTAGGGTAGCCTCTGGGCTCTCTGCTGAATCTTTCCAGCCTTCTTTTGATTATAAATGAATAAAGGTTGCCGTAATTGTCCATTGCTACTTCTTATTGACATTGAGGTGCAGTTTTGTTTTGGGGTGTGGCCAAAAAGCTGAAATGTTGCCCAAGTCCAGAAAGGCTGTTTGACTGCTGTCCAGGTTCTGTGGGCCCATCTGCAGCTAGGACAGTGCAGGCCCAGTAGAAGTGTCTGAGAGCATAGTAGACTGGTGCACATGTGGGTAACTGTTTTGGAGCATTTCTGGATGCAGGTTCCGAGAGAATACCTGGATGTTAGAAGACAGGAGTTTAGGGAGAAAAACCTTTTTTTGGAGAGGGGCGTAATTTGAAACATGTAGGCCCATGGTCTTGGTAGTTGGAGGAGGGGTGAGGAGTTCCAGGACCAAGGAAAGGGAAATAGATCCATCCTCAGGAATGGGCAGTTGGGGAAGGAAACAGGTTGTTAACTGACAGAACTTAGATTGAGCCCATTTGACCTGTGAGAGGTGGGTTCAAATGGATTCCCTGAAGCTTACTAGAAATAGAAATAAGAATTGTATTGGAGCATCCACGTGTTTCTGTTCTAAATATACATAGTTTTATAATTATCCCTTTACAGATATTTTAATTTGATGCCATCCCATTTGCCCAATTTTGCTTTTCTTGAGCACTAGACATATTTCTAGTGTTCAATAGATATGTGAGCCTGTTCTCTACTTGAGGACAGAGCCAAAAGGTAAGGACCAAAACACAAGAGAAGGAAAGCACCCCTCCCCATACACACACACACACACACACACACACACACACACACACACTTACTACCCTACCGAAACTGAGAAATAAATGTCTGATGTTTAAAAGCTATTCAGCCTAAAGTATTTTGTTATATCAGCCCAATTACACAGGAAAATCAGGGACCAATAATTTTATATATAAATTTGAATGTTGGTCTTAGACTTTCTTTATATTCAGAATTACTTTTTTACTTTACTTTTTAATCTAATCATTACATTTATGCAAGCAACTTTCTTCTATGTGTTTTCCTCTTGATTTAAAGAAATTTTGGCAAGACAAATATAATTTGAAGAATATTTGCATGCAAATAGTTTGAAACAATGAATCTTGCAGACTATAGTTTCACAGAAGTATTATCTCTTTATTTGGCTACATATTTTTCATTCCAGTTTCTGTTAAACATTTAGTGCTTTTAGTAAAAAGTGAAAGTGACATTTATTTCTGTTCCAGTAGGTGACCAATAAACTTACAGCTGATTTGTATAAACATCCTCAATACATTCCCAGCTGAACTATATACAGATCTCATTTATACACTAACAGTTAAGGTAATAAGATGGCCTCTTCTTGCATACTTTATGAAAGCTATAGGTAGCTTATTTATGCATATAAATCCAAAGAGATACATGCTTGCTATAGTTACAAAAAGTATGATACTAAAAGTATTTTATGTCTCGAAAAACCAAAAAAAAAAAAGTATTTTAATTCTCAAATGATTTTCAATATTTATAATTAATGTGCTCTTACACTGTCAATTTTTCCTGGTGTTAATTTTTTTTTTTTTTTTTAAATTTTTTTTATTTATTTATTATATGTAAGTACACTGTAGCTGTCTTCAGACACCCCACAAGAGGGTATCAGATATCATTACAGATGGTTGTGAGCCACCATGTGGTTGCTGGGATTTGAACTCATGACCTCTGGAAGAGCAGTCAGTGCTCTTAACCACTGAGCCATCTCACCAGCCCCTAATTTTTTTTTTTTTTTTTTTGGTTTTTCGAGACAAGGTTTCTCTGTATAGCCCTGGCTGTCCTGGAACTCACTCTGTAGACCAGGCTGGCCTCGAACTCAGAAATCCGCCTGCCTCTGCCTCCCAAGTGCTGGGATTAAAGGCGTGCGCCACCAACGCCCGGCTCCTGGTGTTAATTTTTAACTTTTTAAAAAATTAACGTTTAAGAAAATGAATTAAACTGAAAGTTATATGTATGTAATATGTAAAATTAATTTATAATATTGTAGATATAGCACTTACAAATGACATTATTTACTAATGAAAAGGAAAGTAACTTAAATGTGATTACTCTTATTTGAAATGGCACATACAGTTTTATTTATCAGGTTTTATCATGATCCAAACTATTTTGTTTTCTTTAAGTTTATTGCTTAGAAAATATGAAAATTTTAGAATTCTAAAAATCTAAAATCTAGAATTCTTTGATCAACCATGTTTATTGAATTCTAAACATATTTCAATTGCCAAGAACCATCTTAAAAGAAATTCCTAAGGATTTATATTCTGTAATTGCCATTCATGAGGCTGAAAAATAAAAGCAGTGAAACCCAAAATAGTTAATACACATATGTAAACTTCGCCTTTTATTTTATTTAATGTTTTTACTCTCCCATCCTGATGAGAATAGGCAGTTATATAAGTGTGGTGGTCTGAAATAGTTTGGCCAGGGGGTGGCACTATTAGAAAGTGTGGCCTTGGGGCTGGAGAGATGGCTCAGTGGTTAAGAGCACTGACTGCACTTCCAGAGGTCCTGAGTTCAAATCCCAGCAACCACATGGTGGCTCACAACTATCTGTAATGAGATCTGATGCCCTCTTCTGGTGTATCTGAAGACAGCTACAGTGTATTCATATGTAATAAATAAATAAATCTTAAAAAAAAAAAAAGTGTGGCCTTGTTAGAATAGATGTGGCCTTATTGGAGGAAGTGTATCACTGTGTAGGTGGATGTAGAGTCTCCTCCTAGCTGCCTTTGGGTGAAGATATAGAATTCTCAGCTCCTCCTCCAGCATTAAGTCAGCCTACATGATGCCATGCTTCCCACAATGATAATGGACTGAACCTCTAGACTCAATTAAATATTGACCTTTATAAATAGTTGCCTTAGTCATGGTATCTGTTTATAGCAGTAAAGCCCTACTACAGAAGTTGGTACCAGGGACTGGAGTATTGCTGTGATAGGCTTGACCATGATTTCATTTGGAGGAATGTAGATTTTGAAACTTTGAATTTCAAGAGCAGTGGAATATTTTAAGTTATGTATGGCTTAATGGGCCAACCTAGTAGAAACATAGAAGACATTGGTGTTGTGGGTGATTTAAATTCTGAGGGCCTGGCTCAAGGGGTTTCAGGAGAGGAATCTTAGTATGTTGCCTCAAGATCATTCTTATGTTTGGTGAAAATGTGGCTGGTTTTTTTGTTGTTGTTGGTCTTTGAAGAGTCTACCTGATGCTAAGGTGAAGAGATTCAGATTAATTACACTGATAAAAGAAGTCTCAGAAAACCCCAACATGGACTCCAGTTTACTCTCATGAAGAGAGTTTTCATCAGTTGTAGTAAGCTTAAAAGGTTCAAGTAATAAAAGGGTACTGCGAAGTAAAATGGAGCTAAATCCTGTGTTCAAGGATATTAAATGGAATTAAAGAAGTGGTGACTTTACGTCAAGATCCCACCTAGCTAAGCTTATTGTTTGTTTTTGCAGTTGAGCAAGGGATAGTTATATCATGTTAAGAGTTACTATTACCTGGTTATTACATGATTATTGTTTTCATTTGGACTCAATCTGGACTGAACTGCCATCCAGAAATGGAGGGCACACCTGTGACCCAGATCTTGAGGCTGGAAGACATATTTTTGATCCAGATCTAGAGTCATAGTGGCCATGAAAAGCTTAGGTCCAGGCATGGTGGAACGTACCTTTAATCCCAGGAAACAGAGACAAGCATATGTCTGAGTTCAGGGCCAGCCTAGTACAGAGCAAGTTCCAAGTAGAGAAAAATCAAGACCACATCTTTAATCTCAGCATTCAGGAGACAGAGGCATGCAGATCTCTGAGTTTAAGGTCAATCTACAGAGCAAGTTTTGGGACATCCAAGCTTAGGCAGTGAGGGAGTTGGAAAAAAGAAAGCTGGTGATGCTGTAATAATATAAAAAGGAGGTCATGTTCCAGCCTCAGCAAGCAGCGGAACTTGGCAGCATTGGCCATGTGGCTCTGGCTTTAGAATCAAGAATAGAAAGGTCTGTACTGACCAATTGATGCTGGTTTGCTGAGCTGAGAAATTAGCAGTGATTAAGAAGAGACCAACATCACTGAGGTAAAATCTTGAGGGAAGTGTTTTCTGAAAGCACAAAGAAGATGTGTTTCTAGAAACAGTCAAGGTTGTACCTGGTGCTGCAGCTGGACTTAGAATGTATGAGAATACCAAGGTGGTAATAGTGTTGAAGGTTATGAAGAACAGCTGAGGCTTGGTACTATGAGACCAGGAAAGGGCACTGGTGAAGGTGAAGCCTCAGTTGTAGGTGACAGCCCAGGACTGAAGGGGTCATGCAGAGAATTTGAGGCGTGGCACCATAAAAGAGCCTATGAGGTTTTGGTGAAGCCTAGTTGCAGTGAAAGACCCCATAGTATTAAGAGATGTTAGTACCATTGGATGACAACCAAGAACAGCAGCAGCGGTGGAGTAGAGTCCACCAGAGCCTAGAGTGCTACAGACAACAGACCTTTAATCCCAGGAAGAGTGGGGAAGTGACCCAAACCCTTTGGAGGAACCTAAAAGAAGATCATGTGTGGATCTTGAACACTGGAATAAGAAGCTATAAAGTTGAAGTTGCTTTGGATACCCCAAGACATTAAAGATGCCAGAGCCATGGGATACCTGCTGAGAAAAGCTGCAAACAGAGAGTGGAACCAGCCAAAGAGAAAGAAGTGTGTTGTAGTCAACAAACCTGATAGGAGTTAGAGATCTGAAGAGTGCTTTGATATCAGACATGGAGATGCAGAGTTTGGGGTTTGCTTAGCTGGTTTTTGGTCTTTGTTCTAGTATTTCCTCACTATTACATTTTGAAATGGCAATATATATTCTGTGATGTTGGAAGTATATGATTTGCTTTTTGCTTTTGATTTTATAGGGGATTACAGTTAAGTGATTACATGACTCTCAAAAGAGACTCTGAACTTTGGACTTTCAACACTGTTGAGACTGCTATAGACTACTAAACTCTTGAAGATGGACTATTTTGTATTACGTTATAGCTAGGTGTGGCCCCCATAGACTCACTCATGTGTTTGAATAAGTCAATGGGAGCCAGGGAGTGGAATATGGTGGTTTGAATGTATTTGGCCCAGAGAATGGCACTATTAAAAGGTGTAGCCTTATTAGTATGTGTGGCCTTGTTGAGGAAATGGTTCCCTCTGAGGAGGATGGGTGTTGGGCTTTGAGGTCCTATGCTTAGGCTCCACCCAGGATGGAAGAGGGAGTCTCTTCATGGCTGCCTAAGAAATAGAGAGTCTCCTTTTAGCTGCCTGAGGAAGACAGAATCTCCTTTTAACTGCCTTCAGTATTTAGAACTCTCAGCTCCTTTTCCAGCACCATGTCTGCCTGGATGCTGCCTTGCCTCCTGCCATGACAATAATGAACCAAGCCTCTGAAATTGCAAGCCAGTCCCAGTTAAATGTTTTCCTTTATAAGAGTTGCCTTGGCCATGGTGTCTCTTCACCACAGTAAAACCCTAACTAAGGCACAAGTCTTCTGAAATAAAGGTTAATCTAAGTTTTGAAGGTCTAGAGTGATCCAATGACGATAAAGCATCATACTAGATATTTTAAGTATTTAAACCTTAGAAGTATGTGGTACCAGGAGTCCTCTTTGGTTTTGGTTTATCACTTGGAAGGGAGGAAGTTATCAGGGAAGAAATATGGAAAAAGCAATGGCTTAGTATGGCTTATAGTTGTATAACCTTATGATTCTAAATGTTTTAAAAGCATATACCATTAACAACCCATTGTTTTAGCTTTAGAAAATGCATCCCCTTTTATATAATATTTCCATGGCAGAAATATTAGTTATACACTATCAGTATGTAACTTATAACATTTGTATCATGTTTCTATAGGACTTTCTTGCTAGCTGTCTTTAAAAATTACTTACAGTTAAGGAATCTTCACCACCATCATGTTCTCTACGATTATGGGTTCTTCCTCTATCATCAGAGATACTGAGCAAGTCTCTTCCAAGAGGTTCAGAGAAACTTCTCATCATGTTGCGCATACTTTCTCGGTGTGCAAGAAAAGAATCACTGTTGAAAATAAAGATGAATGGAAAATTAAATGTTATAATTTAAAAAACTGCCATATAAATACTACGAAGAAACTTATGAGCTAATATAATTGTTAAGACAAAATATTACAATTTAGAAGAGATTACTTAATAAAAGACCTAGTATTTATAAATACAATTATAAATATAAATGAAATCTTATCCTATTTGCTATTCACTATATTTATTATACTAATGAAATATATTATTTCATGTATAAATATGGTAAATATAAATTACCATATCGTAAGTAGTTTAAGATGAGAAAAAAATGAAAAAAAATCAGAAAAATATTTCTCGAAGGTAAGACTACTTTGAGAAGTCTACAGCATAATTTTATAACTGTAAAAACATCAGAAAAACATTTCTACCAGGAAGATCATTTTGGGAAGTGTACAACATAATTCTATAGAATTAATAAAGAAGCCAGGCAGTGGTGGTGCATGCCTTTAATCCCAGCACTTGGGAGGCAGAGGCAGGCGGATTTCTGAGTTTGAAGCCAGTCTGGTCTACAGAGTGAGTTCCAGGACAGCCAGGGCTACACAGAGAAACCCAGTCTCGAAAAACCAAAAAATAAATAATAAATAAAAATAAAAATTAAAAGAATAGGGCTGGTGAGATGGCTCAGTGGTTAAGAGCACTGACTGCTCTTCCAGAGGTCATGAGTTCAAATCCCAGCAACCACATGGTGGCTCACAGCCATCTGCAATGAGATCTGATGCCCTCTTGTGGGGTGTCTGAAGATGCTACAGTGTACTTATAATAAATAAATAAATAAATAAAGTTTAAAAATTAAAAGAATAAAGAATTCCCCATGCTAAATACAGACCCCAAAGAACCTAAAAAAGTTGTCTTTAAAAACTGAATGTGCACAAATAAATTTGGAAAAGAGTTCTCCTAAAATGATCATACTTGTTGGGGCTGGAAAGATAGCTCAGTGGTTAACAATGTTTGCTGCAACTTCTAGAGGACTGAGGTTTGTCTCTCAGTATCCCCAGAAAACTTATGCTTCTCATATATACCTGCTTCTCACTATACCCTCTGTCTCTACAGGCTCCTGCACGCACCCATCTCACCCCTTCTCTCTCACACTCTACCTTTCTCTTAACAAAAAAAGAGCACTATTTTAAACTTTCCTGACTGAGAGAAGATCATTGACATACAAGCACTGAGGACCATATTTATGTTTATGAATACCATAAAAGTATAGATTATGTCTACATAGTCAAAGCCAAAGCCACAGATATCTTTTATAAGGATTATTGTTATTATTATTATTGTTGTTGTTATTTCTTCGAGACAGGGTTTCTCTGTGTAGCTCTGGCTGTCCTGGAACTCAATCTGTAGACTAGGCTATCCTGGAACTCAGAGATCTACCTGCCTCTGCCTCCTGAGTCCTGGGATTAAAGGCGTGCGCCACGTCTAGCTGTAGCACTACAATTATAAAGCAGACTATACTAACTCTGTAAATTGTTCCTGGTAATATAGTCATGTTCACAATACTAAGTCACCCATATATTCATGTGGGAAGTCTTCTAATGCCTTCCTCAGTTTCCTTTTTTACTATTTTGAGGTTTTCACTGTAAAGGTCATTCCTTTCTTAGATTTATTCCAAAGTATTTTTTTTTAGATAATTGTTAATGATTGTTTTACTAGTTTTTTCCCGCATGTTTCTCTCTCTCTCTCTCTCACACACACACACACACACATTTAAACTACTGATTTTTATGTTAGTTTGGTGTCCAAATTGCTCAAAGTGCTTACTAGATCTAAGAGTTTTCTGGTAGAGCTTTTATGGTCTTTTATGTAAAGGATATGAACAAATTAGGATTCTTTGACTTCTTTCTCCCTTTCCTATTTCTATCCATTTATATGCTTCGTCTTATTTACTACTTCATGAACTACATTGGATAGGAGTAGAAGAAAGGTACACTTTTATCTCATTCCTGATCTTAGTGGAAATGGTTTGAGGTTTTCTCTGATGTTGGCTAACATGCTTCTCATATATAGCATTTATTATGCTGATACATATTTCTTCCACTTCTAGTCTCTTTGGGGGCTTTTATCATAAAGGAATGTTGTCTTTTCTCAAAATCCTTTACTATATCTCATGCGATGTGAATTCTTTCCTTCAATCCCTTTATGTGATAAACTTATGGTTTGCATTAGTCTGACCTTCCTTTGTATCTTAGGAATGAAGCCAGCATAGTTATGATGAATGATCCTTGTCAAGTGTTCTTGAAATTCTGTTTGCAAATATTAAAATTTTAGTGTTAATTTTTGTGTCTCTGTCCATCATAGAGACTGGCGTATTAGTCTTTGTTGTGTCTTTATCTGGTTTTGTAAAAGAGTCTGACAGTATTCTTTCTGTCTTTATTCTATGAAATAGTTTGAGAAGTCCCAGTGTTAGTTGCTCCTTATAACTCTGGGTAGCCTTCAGTACTGAATTCACCTGGGCTTGCACTGCTTTTAGTTTGAAGTTCTTTTTTTTTTTTTTAATTTCTGCTTCAATCTATTTTGGTAGTTAGTATAGATCTGTTTAAATTATCTAGCTCATATTAGTTTAACTTTAGTAGGTCTTAAGCGTCAAGAAATTAATCCATTTTTATGTGATCTTTCTAACAGTGGAAATAAATTCTTTAAGATACAGCCTAACAATCTTCAGAATTTCTTTGTTATCTGTTGTAATCTCTCTCTCTCTCTATTTTTTTTTTTTTTTTGGTTTTTCAAGACAGGGTTTCTCTGTGTAGTCTTGGCTGTCCTGGAACTCACTCTGTAGACCAGGCTGGCCTCGAACTCAGAAATCCACCTGCCTCTGCCTCCCAAGTGCTGGGATTAAAGGCGTGCGCCACCACCACCCAGCATAATGTCTCTTTTCATCACTAATTTCACTAGTGTCTTCTATTTTCTTTGGTTAATTTGGCCAAAGGTTTATTGATCTTGCTTATCTTTTAAGTTTATTTATCTTTTTAAAGAACTCAATCTTTGAATCTTTGTACCTTTTCATTTTTTTATTAATTTCTGCCATGTTATTTATTTCTATCCACTAATTTTGAGTTTAGATTATTTTTGTTTTTCCAAGGCCCTATAGTGTATCTAAGCTATTTGAAGTTTCTTTCTTTAATGTAGGCATCTATAACTATAAATTTCCCTCTTATAGCTGTTTTCTTTGCATCTAAGAGGTACTGTATTCTTTTGGTTATACAATTCTTAGAATTCTCTTCTTAATTTCTTCAGTGATCCATTTACCTTTCAATAATCTGTTGTTCAATCTCCATGAGTCTGTATATGTACTATAGTTCCTCTTTCTCTTGGTTTTTATTTTTATTCCTTTGTTGCCAGAGATTAGAAAAATTATTCTAATTTCCTATATTTGCTAGGACTTGATTCATGTCCTATTATAAAATCTATTTTAGATGTTTCATGGGTTGCTGAGAAATAAATATTCTGCAGATACATGTTAAGACTTTCTTGGTCTACGAGGTCATATAACTCAGATGTTCTCTTTTTTTGTTAAGATAACCTATTGGTATGAGATATTTGTGGTTTCCCCCACTCTTGCGGAGCATCTGCTGATACAGTCCATGAGAACAGTGGGAGCAGAGATGTCCAAAGCCTTGTGAATACGTAATGTGAATGATCACACTAGGACCGCTTGTTAGTACGCTTGTCAGTAGGCAGATCAACTTTACTTGGGGTGATTGAAAGCTTATGAAGTTTTGGGGGACTGAGGGCAGGGACATCCAAGATGGTCAAAGGTCATCCATTGACTGGGGGTTTAGAGTACCTGGCATACCTCAATAGCATGGGGAAGCATTTCAATAATCTCTGGTGCTGGCCAAACAGGTTTTGTCAGGAGAATGGAAATTAATTCTATAAACTAATTAGGGCTACATGACATTCATTAGGTAGAGGCAAGTATAGGGGCTTAGAATCCCCTAGACAAGGTCAGAGAAGGAAAAAAACCTGCTAACAAAGGAGTCTCCCATTTTGCACTGAGCTCAGAGGCTACCCTGTCATGGTAGACAGACTTTAATTAGCAGTGTTTTCCCACATTGAAAAGGTGTGCTTGCCGGGCGGTGGTGGTGCACGCCTTTAATCCTAGCACTTGGGAGACAGAGGCAGGCGGATTTCTGAGTTGGAGGCCAGCCTGGTCTACAAAGTGAGTTCCAGGACAGCCAGGGCTGCACAGAGAAACTCTGTCTTGAAAAACCAAAAAAAAAAAAAGATGTGCTTACTAATCTAGGCATTTCTCAAGTCATGTTAGCAATCCAGATTAATCCATCACAGGCTTTATCAGTATTGTTTTGTCTTTCTTGGAATCTATATAATGGAATTATATAGTGTGTCATTTTTCACATCTAGTTAGCTTCTTTGACTCAGAATAATGCTTTTTATAATTTATCCCTGCCTCATCAAATATTAACTAAATCTAGCATATATATATATATGTGTGTGTGTGTGTGTGTGTGTGTGTGTGTGTGTAGTGTGTATGTATATGTAGTTATATCATAATATAATCATAACTATTTCTAGGTTGTCTTTATAAATAAGGCTGTTGCCAGGCGGTGGTGGCGCACGCCTTTAATCCCAGCACTTGGGAAGCAGAGGCAGGCAGATTTCTGAGTTGGAGGCCAGCCTGGTCTACAGAGTTAGTTCCAGGACAGCCAGCAGCCAGGGCTATACAGAGAAACCCTGTCTTGAAAACAAAACAAACAAACAAACAAACAAACAAACAAAAAGGCTGCTATTACTATTCAGTGCTTTTTTTTCCAATTTAAATTATTTGAGCAGTAGTATCCTATCATTGTGATTTTCTACTTGTCATTTACATAAGTGATCAAAATGAGTGCACAAATATATCCTATCCATTTAAAAATGGGCCTTTTGTTGCTGATTATTAAGAATATGTATCTATCTATCTGTCTGTCTGTCTGTCTGTCTGTCTATCTAGTTATTTTTTAAAAACAATCCATAGTCTTGCCCCTTTCACTTTAAAATATCAACCACACAGTTAAAGTCTTTGTTATTTTTCAGGTTGAAGTCTTTACCATCCTTGTTTTGTTTTGTTTGAGATAGGGTCTCATGCTACAGAGTAAGGCCTTGAAATCACTATATAGCTAAGAATGGCCTTAAACTTCTGAACCCCCTACCTCTACATCCAGTGTCAGGCATCTACCACTATGCCTAATTTTATTTGGTTCTGGGCATCAATCCAGGACTTCATGCATGCTACCAACTATGCTATACCTCCCAGCCCAGTTGTTTTGCTTTTATTACAGATCATGACCTTGTATGGTACAGTCTATTTATAGTAATTTTGTCTTTTTTTTCATCTCATTTTAAAACTTAATTATGTTAGTAGTGTAAATCTGATATTGGTGTACTAAGCAATTGTTTAAATATGTGTGTTAGACAACTACTCCAATGGTGTCAAATCCCTAGTGTTCACCTCATCATGTAACCTCTTCTGCCCATGAGCCGGACTTCTGGGCCTGTTTTTTCAATAAATTTGATATAATGGAAAACAGGATGTCACACAAGTTATGTATTTTGAAGACGATGAGTTCTTAGGTGATCTCTCATGTACAGTGGCTGGTATGGCTTGGGAGAAGTTTACATGAGGGAACTTAGAAGCATTTTTCTAAATCAGCCAATTGCCATGTGAATGAACTTGAAGATGGATGCTCACGTAGACGATATTTGTGATAACCTCACAGTAACCCCCTGAGGCTTGAATTAGAACTACTTAACTAAGCTCCTTGATCAACAGAAGATGTGATACTATAAAGATATACTTTAAGATTCTATATGCTACTGCAACAACAGATATCTAATACACATAAGAATAAGGTCCTAAACTACAGGGCAGCTGAAACAGGCACAAAAAACCAATGGGAACTTCTGACCAACAGGATAATATAGTCACAGGTTCTGGGAATTAGGATATGATTATCTTTACAGAAACTACTGTTCTGCCTACAACAGACATGTTCCTAAAATAACGTTGTTGATAGTAGTATCAAGGAAAACTATCAATTTCTGCCAAGTCTGCATTTTGCTCTACTTTGTTCTGTATTTGTCCTCATGCAAGTTTAATGCCTCTTCTGCCATCTCCTTTCTGCTACTAAGCCTACCCAATCAATCTTTTCCTTTCAGATATAATTTTTTTTTTTTTGGTTTTTTGAGACAGGGTTTCTCTGTGTACCCCTGGCTGTCCTGGAACTCACTTGGTAGACCAGGCTGGCCTCAAACTCAGAAATCCACCTTCCTCTGCCTCCCAAGTGCTGGGATTAAAGGTGTGCGCCACCACTGCCCGGCTAGATATAATTTTCATCTCTAGAATTTCTATTTGATATATATTATATATATATTTCACTTCCTTTGTTGAGACATCATATATTTTCCTTCATTACAATCATATTTCCTTCATATATGGGATAAACTTATAACTGCCTTAAATTTTTTTGTCCATTAATGCTAATATCTTGAATGAGAATAACTAATAACTTCAGAATAAGTCTTTTATACAGAAATGAGTCATATAAAGTCAAAATACAGAAAGTGGCTATTATGTTGTAGAGGTTCTGAATTTTGTTATATTCTTCAGGAATGATAAATCTTTCCTAAGTAGGTAATTAATGTGGTTGCCTTAGAATTCAAATTCTGTCTTAAATGGTAGACTCTTTATATGTATCCTCTTCAGTAAGCTGCTCTCTGAGTCTGGCTCATGCACAGGTGGTTAAGCCTAATACAGATGTGTGCAGAATTTATACACAGAAAAAAGCTGCCTAGTTCTCCCTCTCAGGATGCTGTACATTCCCACTCTCAACCACACCCTTCCAATGGCTATGGCAGTACTGAGCTCTGCCCTTGGTTCTCAGGTTAGAAGAGGTTTGAGTTTCCTAGTAGCTTTGACTGCTTTGCAGAGCATACGGAGCTTGAGCTCAGGGCAGAATTTTCGTTTCCCTTTCACATCTGTTGGCTCCTCTTCAGTATATGTATGTTTTGGGTCATTTCCCAAAAACTTCCTCCAGAAAGCCGGTTTTATATTTACCCTAAACTTCAGTGTTATCTGTAAGGTCTGTGGGTATAGTTATTTTTGGCATATGGTGTTATTATTTATTTGTAAGGCTTTTTTTTTTCTGGTTTGGTTTTTTCGAGACAGAGTTTCTCTGTGTAGCCCTGGCTGTCCTGGAACTGACCCTGTAGACCAGGCTAGCCTCGAACTCTCAAACTCTTGAACTCAGAAATTCACCTGCCTCTGCCTCCCAAGTGCTGGGATTAAAGGTGTGTACCACCACTGCCCAGCTCACCATAATTCTTTAATTTATATTAAGTATTCTCATTTTTTTGTTTGTTTTTCGAGACAGGGTTTCTCTGTATAACCCTGGCTGTCCTGGAACTCACTCTGTAGACCAGGCTGGCCTCGAACTCAGAAATCCGCCTGTCTCTGCCTCCCAAGTGCTGGGATTAAAGGCGTGCACCACCACCGCCTGGCCAGTCTTATAGTTAATTAGTACAAATTTGCCTTATAGTTTTGGTAATGGTTGCTTAGTTCTGAAAAAATTGACGAATGTGACTACTGTCTTTCCTTTGCTAAGCATGGAGGAAGGGTGCTGTATGTCTGTTAGTGATCTGTTACTATTTTTGACCTCAAAGCTTGGGTTCCCTGCCTTTGCACAGAGGGTCATCCAACAGTTTAAATTACACTCCTGCTAGGCATAATTTTTGAAATACAAATTACATATCCAATTACACATTTAATTAAGATATTACTTATTTTGATATAGCTAGGCATATAATAAGGTCAAATATGCACAGAAAACTAAATAATGAAACAGTTTTAAATGTCTTCCTCCCAAAGCCTCATTTATGTCACTGGGAACCACTCACCATTTCTTGTTACCAGAGGTGTTTCTTGCACACTATTTCTTTACCCCCTGCTCTATATTGCATTGTTAAAATGAGAAGTCCCTTCCCAAGGGAGGCCAGTTCTGCTAATGAAGCAGGTAAAGAAAACAAACAGTGTCCCATGGCAACCAGCACAACCCTCCTACTTAGTAGTGCTGTCAAGGTGATAGCCTTCACTATAGGAAAGCTTGTTTTAAACAACCTAGCACACCTTTAA